ATATATATATACATACGGTTTTGTTAGGCCAACCCAGTCCCAACTCAACCATGTTGTCCCGCCTCCTTGGCATCCACACTATCACAGTCTGAAGGTGGATCCAGAGGTGCCGGCATAGGTGGATCAGAATCGGTGTCTTGCTTCTCTTGCTTCGCCGCCCGCTCACGTGCAATCTCGCGTGGACCACGTGCTGAACTCACCTGAGCGCAGCGCAAAGTTATACATAGACAAACATCTGACTACTCTGAGAAGTATCATTTGTTATGGCAGTACATGTATATACAAAGAAGATTGGCAGTACATACATACATATATATACATATGCATGTCAGTAAACATATGTATAGGCATAGGTTTTGATGCAGATAGAATATTGCTTGATGCCACAGAGTCACTGAAACAGCCCCCAAAAGCTTCATGTCGTACGCTTTCCGCGCCTCCCCTTGCAGCAATGCGTACGCTTCAGCAATCTGCTTAGCTTCATTTGAGTCCTTCTCCACTGATTCCATGGTACGGGCGTAGCAGTCATCGATATGCTGCTTAGGCACTGTGGACAGCTTCATAACTCGTTGTATTGGAGTGCTTCCTAGATCGCTAGGCCCCGGTGGCACTCCAAGCTGGTCATATGCGTCCACAGCATGGAACATGTTTGCGCAAAGGTACCACTCCGACATGGCGACGGAGATGTGACTATAACAGCAGTGCGCTGCAGAGTTGCGCGCGTGCACATTGTTGTTTGCTGCCTCGTTGCGTGTGTATAGCAGGACTGAATCATAGTATATATATATACACAAGTAGTTTTCATAGTAGGATTGTAGCAGGATCAGTGTGTTTGCTGTCTATAGACATGCTTCAGCTGTGTTTAGGTTCGTGTTTTGGTGTTGTTTGCTTGAACATGCTAACAAAGTCAAGTTCTTTTGCTATATTCTATCTGCAATCAAACTCAATTGAATTAAAAAGGATTTTATATATATAATACACAGCAATCGTAGCTGCCAACTGTGCTGGCACACTACTTGGAACTACACCATGGACGACTGGCTGCATGAAAGACATGTTTGCTTGCACCTCTGGCTATGTGTAGTCCAACACCTATCTATACAGCGCCAGCCATCTTGGAGGCCGCCTTGCTTCATTTGGCTGCCGCTACCGATGGCACTTTTGACAAGGCAAAAGCTGTGATGCGCGACCTTCCTGGTCCTTTACAAGATAGCACGAGGCCTCATGATACACCTTGCTGTTCTTGTAGTGGTAGATCATCCCAGGCTGGCTCGATCCATAGCATGTCTTCACACGCTTGTAGTTGACACAGAGCACCACGATCAAAGTTGCATTCACAAGCAGTGAAAGCGCTAGACCACCAAGAACCAAATACCCAAGCATTGCTGCAAGTGCGTATGCAAGGTGTGCTACACTTTTTGAGCAGCTGCCACGCACATCATTTTGCAACAAAGCAATTTGTTTGAATATCATTATTTACATAAATGTATATATATATACACACACCTATACATACATATACATACATAGCTTCTTTGAGTGCCGCTCATATTCTAACTCTTATACTCCCTCCGTATTCTAACTGCATCGTTCGAGCTGACCCGCAATTTTTTTGGGACATCCAGTTAGAATATGACTAATTAGTAAAATCTTAATTAGTCCATATTCTAACTGCTGCCAACTCACTATATATATATATATATATATATTACTGCAGTATCACGAAAGTGCTGCAGGGGTGAGACAAGGGGTATCGCTAGTGATGTGCAACTGTTTTTGTCCCAGCAGCGTGTTGCAAATTTTTATTACCTCTTCAGTCGATCTTTTGGCCCTAAAACAGGGTCCATTTTCTACCCACCAAAGCGGGGCCGTCACTTCTTCCGAAAGCTACCGCCTGCCAGATTTGGGGCCCAGTTTTGGGGACCATGAAGCTGCGCAAGTACAACAGCGTAAATTGACCAATCCGGAATTCTGACCGTTTTCGAGAATTTGTGGGCTCCATAGGGCCATAGGGCAACGCGGCGGCAACATGTGTGAGTTCGATTGACGCACACACACACACACACACCACACACATTGGGAAGGGTATTGAGGAGAACTTTGGATAAAGATGTCAAACCTCCTAAGCCCACTACCTGCGATGTACAAGGAACGGGCGACACCTTTGGTTCCGATGGACCTGAAGTAAAACTTAAACAGCCTGGCATCTAGCAGGTACACGGAGGTGATCAACCTCCGCCCCCCCCATCGTGAGCAGCTTCGTTGGCACAGGTGTCCACGAGGGGCCTGTGCCCCCTGCTTCAGATAGTGAACAAACTCACCGCGTGTAATAGCGGTTTTCACACACAAGGCGCCCCCAAGACATGTCTCAACATCAACTACAGAATGGAGCGTTGTTTTTGAATGCTCTTGTACCTTAACCGCAAACCGTGCCTAGACCTAGACGTCGGCAGCTTATGATGGCCGGTATATGGCACATCAAATTAATGATCATGTCCACTGCATGAATCAAGGCACTGGGGCAGAATCGCTGCCAAAGCAAAAATCTGGCTCAAGATGGCTCAAGTCACAAAGGAATATCCAGCTCTTGTCTCGTGTATTGTGAAATGTTGTGAAGAGCGTCATAGTACTCAGCTGCGGCAAATCCGCCGCGCATTGGCGCTTTTGGAACAGGGCCCCGGCTGATGTGCACATGTGCGCGCGGACAAGGAGATGAAGGCATGAAAGGAGGACACGACAAGACGAGTGTATGTGGTTGCTATGAAGGAAAAAGGAGCCAAGTGCACAGGGACAAGTGATGAGCCAGACCTCCTTGTAACAACCTGGGCGACCTGAAGCCTGGATTCCGTGCACGAGTGCACGAACGTGCTAAGGGCCGGACACATGTGTGCGCAAAAGAGAGAAACAGAAAGAGATGATATGACCAGTCACGAAGGCAGAAAAAACATGAAAAGAAAGAGGAGGAAATGTATGTGGAGGGGAGGTTGAAAAGGGGAAGGGGCCGAAACCACATCAAACCAAACCTCATTGCAGCAAACTTCGGAGAACCTCGCCTCGTTTTTGCGTGAGCGTGCTGTGTGTGTGTGTGTGTGCGCACCTGACGTAGGCCCTGCAGGAGCCCAATAATTCCCTGCTTTCCCGAAGGTTGCCGAACGAAACAGTTGCGCTCGAGGCGAGCTCGTGAATGGCTTCTAGAAGCCACGAGTTATGCCCGAAGCAGATAGTACCGTCACTACTGACAGTCGGGGTCCGCCATGGAGGCCTTCGATTATTTTACAAGGTCGTGCCATCTTGAAAGTCACCCGCAGGTGCTCGACTCGAGGGTGCCGCCGGTCTGGCATGCACCCTGTTCACACTGGGAAGGTTCATTGAGGATAGCTTTTGGAAAGATGTCAATGGCCCGGAACCTCCTAAGTCCACTGCCTCCAATGTACAAGGAGCGGGCGGCACCGTCGGTTCCGACGGACCTGAAGTAACACCCAAACAGCCTGCCATCTAGAAGGGGGTATGATTACGTTCCAGGATTCACATTTGCAGGTACAAGCAGGTGATCAATCTAATCGTGGTGGGCCCGTGGGCCCTGAGGCATTTATATTCTTGCGCCCATAGCCCCCAAAAGTCATGGTATTTACGGGAGTGGCTGAGACCACTAGTATGGGGAGGGGGCTGCCGTGTTCTCAACCACAGTATCGACTTTCCATAGCCCAACAACATGTCCGCAAAGTTGTGTTGAAGCCACAATTCCAGCATTCCTGGGCTTTGGTCTCATTTTTCAAATGATTTTAGTTCCCAATACGTATATAGTGGTTAATCAGGGTTATAAACCATTCCTGGCCGTTCCTGTGTCCATGTTTTGAGGGGGCGACCGTCGGTTTTACTTCCTGCCCCATTCCTGCTGCCATTCGGGTGCATTAGGTTCGATGTGAAACATGGTTTTCAAAAAGAATTGGTGCCTCTCCACGCACATGTCTCTCCATGTACTGCTGCTCTCCCAATATTTGTTGTTTCATCGCCTGCTTTTGGAACAATGTTTTGGTTGATAGCCTTAGCCCTGCGTGCCGCCCCGAAAGTCGTGGTATCTACAGTGTAGTGACCCAGTTTTTTGTGATTGTGGCCCCATGTGGCCCTGCTTTCTCGTGCTATTTGCAAAAGTGCCCCGCTTCCCCCGATTGAAGCACACAGTCTTGAACAAAGGTGTGAACATGCCATGCACCATTGCAAATCCACGGAACACGATGCTCACACTCCAGGACCAACAGAATCAATCGCAACTAGGATTTGCAGGTACAAATGAAAGCGATTGGACTTGCTGGCCACTTGAAGTCTCTGTAGTTTTTTGTTGTGGATGCAGGAAACAACCAACGTGTTGGCTTTTGAACGGACCTGTTTATGTGACTCCACGAAAACACCGCCATCCCCCGTGCTTTGGCCCGCTATAAAATGACGGTCGTTTGACACTACAAAATACGGTTTTGTACCCTTTTTATAGAAAACAACTAGAAAACAACAAATGTTCTAGTGTTTGCGTTTGTTTTCGTGGCCTTTCTTGGCATGCTTTGTGGACCCTTGCCAATCATTTTGCAGGGAATGGAGGGCTGTCACGCGCACACATGTTGTTTTTGCATTTTATAGTGTTTTAGGTTGTGACAGCACCTGGATCTGGGAATTTTATGTAGTGGGTTTTAAACATGTGGGGTTGACATGTGTAATGTTTAACGTTCGCACCTGTCACCGTTTTTTGCTATATAGAAAAAAACTCGAAGAACCTAGAAAACTTTAAGGTTTCACTTGTCCATCCGTCAAGTGATCTCTTACTACTGTGGCATTTGGTTTGGCGGCGTTCCAGTCATATTATAAATAGATATGTGTATTTGCAACTTGAAATGTTGACACCAATTCCCCATAGAATGCCCGGCAAGTGATCCCAGTGGTTCACGGAGGATACACCATGATAAGCCCGACATGAAGTTCAAAACTCGAAATTCCGCTGTTTCTGTGAGGTGGAGGTTCGTCACGTTTACAGGGAGGAACGGCCCTATGAATGTGATGAGGGGCTTGAGGACTTGGGTGGTGAGACACGATGTGGTCAAATGCGCCCAGACAGGCCTCACAGAAGATCCAAATTTCTTGGTTGTTTCAATGGCGGGTTCGTAGGAGGGAACAGTTCTTTTATAAGTTTTTTGGAGCAGCTGGGCTCTTGTCGCGGCAAAGTTTAGAAAATCGTAAAGCAAGGTTGCAATGCATGCATCGATATCAGGAGCTTGTCAGCTGGATTGTCTTAGAGTCTTAGAGAGATTTTTTTCACAGATGTGAAGCCTCATGAGACACTGTTTTTCAAGTGCGCGGTTAATTGTTCCAGGACGTGAAGAAATGGGACACCAAACACAAGCGCTACTGCTGCTTCCTGCGCAAGATCGCTTGCCCAACGAAGGCCAACAAGTGCGGGCTTCCGGCTAGTTTGGGGGCTCCCCTTTGCTGCTTGTTGGTGCATGTCCCTACGGCAAACATGCACAAAGACGATTCGGAAATGAGCTGGCTTGGCTGGCCCAAATTTTGCTTTTCATCGCAGGTTGTGAAGCACGACAAGTACATCACAGTCATGAAGCCCAAACTCATTCCCAAGTACATCCCCATGAAGGCTGGCTTTCCTGGAGCGGATCAGCTGGTATATCTAATGGTTGTTCCATTGTCCAGATGTGCTTGTGCGCAAAGTTTTCACATCCGAAGGGTCGCAACTACAGTGTTTGTCGGTTCAACTCCACTGCCATAACGTAAGTTTGGACTGGGTCACCTGTTTACAGACGATGGTTTGCGCTTTGGGAGGCCACAGAGAACAAGACTGTGGTGGTGCCCCAGTACTACCCGAAAGAAATTGAGCCGAAACCCATCAAGGTGAGTGTTGAACAGCCTCCCAAGAAGCTTGGCAAGCGGACAGTTGAAGTCAGGATAGGACTGGATAAGTGGAGTGGAAGCGTTGGAGGCTTGAAGCTTTCTGAGTTGACACTAGCCCTTTGTTACTAGTAGCGTCCTTGTTACTAGTAGCAAGGCCAGGAGCCCCTAGTAGCTTCTTTGCTCCTAGTAGCGATGCCAGGAGCCCCTAATAGCGTCCTTGCTCCTACCCTTTTTTCACCTCTTCACATACCTTTCCCGATTTCTTGTTTTACGTTCGTTATTCTGCTGTAAAGTTGAGACACGTTGGAAGCTAGCTCATGCGAAGCTGAGGATCATCTACCAACCAGTGAATGAGACGCGGCACTTCGGCCAAGGTATTCTGAGATTTTTGACCTTGCGTATTAGTTCCAATTTAATATGCGTCAATGTCAGCAGCTCGGCAGCTTGCTTGTTTTGAAGGTGATGAAGTGCATCCAAGGTACATCCGAGTGCCTGTGCCGGGAAAACCGCGCATCGTAGTGCAGGAGAAGCCGGTTCCAGTGGAGATGCCGCCAGAGGTGGTCAAGGTTTACGATCACATTAAGGTGCCTTGCGTAAGTGCCATGCATTTTGTCATCATCGTCATCATAGGGTAATGTGTGTGTGTGTGTTTGATGTGTGATGGCTACAGGCCCTACTCCACTCACCTATATAATAGACGCTAGCTGTTTGGCCTGCCGCTTCTGTTTGTTGTGATCGTTAGTGAGTGATATCGGGATATAGTTGAAACCGGATGTGTGTTCCTTGAGCCTGGAGCAGTGGAGCCAAGGTCCACCCCTTTGAGGTCAAGGAACCCCCTGTCCATCACCACCACTTTGATTGCTGCTTGGTGACACTTTGGGCGTGTCCTTTGCTGACTGCGGGTGCAAGGTTTGCTATGTTGTTGTATGCTCCATATGGACAGGTGTTGGAAAAGGGTGGCTTTACAGTCCAGTGTTTGTAATACTGCCAGAGTTTAATCATCGCCCGCGGCTGAGGCAACGCAGGCTACTCAAACTGGTATTTTGGATGGTCTCCAAAGAAGAAGACTTGGTGCTGCGAAGATTCAAACCGGGGCTGCCCAGGGACATGGCATGGAAGTGCGCACTTGCATCTTGGCCAGAAATCAGACATTCTTGTTTGCGGAAGCAGCTCAATTTGCAAAGGCTATATAGATACTAGCGACTTAAGCACTTTGCAGCTATACCTTTTGGTAGGGAGCAAAGCTTGAAAACAATGACCGGATGCCGACCGTCCGTGCTCCAAGGCACATTCACACACACGTGGGACAAGCGACTGGGCACATCTACGATTGTGATGCCGGCTTCTCAAACTGGTTGCATGGCTGGTCCGACTCCAAGAAATCCTGGTGCTGTGACAAGGAGCGGGGTGCCAGATTGTGTGCCCTTGAATCGGAAAGCCAGACCAAGCCAGTTTTTCTTGTGACGGGATTTGTAGTGGCCCAGGGCCCAGAGCTTTCAGTCTTGCAAAACCGAACGACAACATGCTTGACAGAATCATCATAATGGTAGGAAGGAATCTGTTTTGAAGACTCATTTTCCCAAGACAATCACTTTCCTGGCCTGCAACCCATCCCTGCAGTTCCATGTTGGATGCGCTCCGCACAGCTGCAGCGGTACTGATGTGGGTATGTGGAGTGTCGGCAAACGAGAATGGTGCTGCAGCAACTTTCAGCCCCTTGGGAGGAGTGGCAGTTGCGATACGATTCCGAGTGTTCAACAAGTCTTTGCACAAGCAAGTTCAATATACTATATAACTGCACGTCTAGACTTGCAGCCCGCCTTGCCAAGGAAAGGCTGCGCGCGCACCACCTTGTCACCCTTGAAATGCCGCTCCTCAAATTATGCAATACTTTAGATCGGTCAAGATGTGCAGCTAAAGCTTACTCCCAAGGCTGAATTTGAAAGACCCCTTTGCCTCTAAAAGGAAGGACTTCATATGCACTGCACAGCAGACAAGACACGGTCTAAATGTGCTGCACACTTTTGTTTAAGCAACCTTACTTACTTTCTTTTGGTCCAACACAGAACACTAGAGAATGTAACAGAAGGTATCATCAGACAAATCATGTGACACCGTGGTGAGGCCGTGCTGATTCGATGATGCACTACTAGCAACAAGGGCATTACCACTAGTAGCAAGGACGCTACTAGTAGCTCCTGGCATTACTAGTAGCAAGAAGCTACTAGTAACAAGGGCATTACTTCTATTCGCATTGATGCATATTTCACTCGCTGAGGCGATGCGGTTTGCACTCACGCCGGGGAGTCGGTGAGCTGCATGGAGCGCATCCACTGGACGAAGCAAAACGTCTTCCAGGGCCGTAGCTCGGAGATGTGAAAGCTAAAGTGAGCCGGTCGTTCACTGAAAGTTTTTTTGGTTTATTACTGAGGTAGCTAGTAAGTCGGGTAAGCAACAGTTTTGTAAGGCTGCTGAGTAGTCAATAGGTAGCTATAGAACCAATAGGAGTCCTGGCTGTAAAGGTAGCCGAATGAAATATGAGTAAGGATATATAAGTAAATTGATTTAATTGTTAAATGATATATAATATATATATATATATGTATCGTGATCATTATAATTATCATTACAATATGTTTTAATCCATAATTTCAATATGGTTAAAGCTGGTACGGGTTCTTTCAAGAAAGCTTGGGCTCACTGGGTTTCTGAGGGTTGGTGAAAGGGGGCCTAACGGATCCTAACGCATACCATTTTTGGATAACTTTTTGGGACACGTTAGGAATAGTTTGTGTTTGTTATTTCTTTTTAGATATTGAGTCCTATAGAAGCCTTGAGGAATGCTCAACCTTTTAGACCTCTTTAGAAGTTTATTCCTTTTGTTTTTTGCACAGCAATTCCTTTGAGTGAGAGGAGAATTCACAGTACCCCTCAGATGCATGCTGTGATGACATCTATCCAAAGGCACTATGCTCATTCCAGCTTATTAGATTGTCAGATTGAATTGCACCCAATGATTAGTATTTTTGTTGTAGTGAAACCGCACTTGACTCCCGTGAGAGAAACTCCTTTCTAGGTGGAAATGCTTGCGCTTTGGCATATAGCAAGGCTGGGCCCAGCAAGGAAATGTTTGCTTGGGTTCAAGCCCCTGCTTCTGGTAGCCCTTTCAGCAGTTATCAGTCATCACGGGCCTTTTGGGACACAGGAGGGCATGACAGGTGACGTGAATAACAAATACAGATCCTCAAGCCTGGCTTGTTATTGTCCTGCAAATGCTCAAAATTTACGCAGCTCCTTTGTTCAAACAATAATCTAGGCGGCATCCTTTTTAGATTCAGTCGCTTGTAACTTTTGGTTCATCATTTCGCAGGTCCAGGTGGAATGCAGCATTTGCCGTGGTTGCAGCATCGAGGCGTCATTGGATACCAAACGGGAACCTGGATGAACATAGACAATATCCATGGGCTCTGACACTAGCCATCCAGCCAATGTCACATGAACTGACTGAGCCGGAAGATACATATACTATCAGTTATACTATCAGTTGCTGTATAAGATACATACTAATACGGTCCATACGGTCATATAGTGTATAAGATTCATGATATATATATATACATACATACATACATAATACATACACATTACATTAAGAAACCCCTCCTGTGGGTCTGTATAAATCTAGCAGTAGAATGCTGTAGAGCTTTGCTAGATAGAAACAGTAGAATGGTGTTGACCTTGGCACCTTCTATACAGTAGTCTACTGAAAGTAGCACGTCAAAGGTTTACAGTAGTCAGTAGTCTCTCAGTTTTAAGATTGTAAGTTAGGTTAAGTATGAGTACAGAGCAAGGAGCATTTCGTTCAGTTTGATATGCTGCTTGTTTTGAGTCAATCTTACTCTTCGTTCTTTGGTTGTAAATGTTATATCTTGTGGGTTCCTATCCCAGGATTTAGTTTCAATAGAGGGGCCCAGTGAAATCACAAAGCCACAGGAAACTACCGACCTGAAGGTCAAATGCGGGAAAGGTGCAGAACCTACTAGTAGCAAGAAGCTACAAGTAACAAAGGGCATCGCTACTGGGAGCAAGGACGCTATGACTAGCTCCTGGCCATACTTCTAGGTACTATTTTAGAACATCAAGTTTTGAGGCACAATGAGGTCTCAAAAGGTTCTGAAAGCGTGCTTGCTACTAGTAGTAAGGCCAGGAGCTACTAGTAGCGTCCTTGCTCCTAGTAGCGATGCTCTTTGTTACAAGTAGCTTCTTGCTACTAGTAGGTTCTAAAATGCACGCTTTGCCACGTCCCTCGAAATATTGTTGTTTCTTTATCAAAGCCTGGGCCTGGGCAGGCTTTGTAAAGGTCCACCACTCAAAACTGAAAGGTGTGCAACACTTGCGCATACAGGCTAAAATAACCCCTACTGCACACCTTTTCTTTGCTCTTCACCTTCTTCACCTAGGGCGTAGACCTTTCCACCAAGTGGAATAGAAGAAGCTGAGCAGTTTGATGCTATGGCCACGGGGCAACATGTCATCACACCATAATGGAATGTTTCAATGTCAGCAGCATGCCACAAATGCCAGCACAAAGTCATGACTCATGCCAACATACCACGATACCTGCGAGACTGTCACGACCACGATCTGAGTGTACCGAAGTCACGAAAGCTAGCTGTAGCTAGCTGGAGTCTGTCTTGCTTTAGCAAGGAGGGTGGGAGCCCAGGACCTGAGTGCTGTTACCTGATATATCAGGACTATACCCCCCCCCCTCGCGGGGTTCAACTCCACCCTACTCCTCCTCGGTACCTGCTGCTGCTGCTGCTGGCATCTCATCTGCGCCTGGCTCTTGGCTGCTTGCTGGTTGCTGCTGCTTGCATGCTTGCTGCTGCTGGATGCTGGCTGCCTGCTGCTTGTTGTCTGCTCCGTTTTGCTGTTGTCTGCTGTTGCTGTTTGGGGTTGTTGGCTGCTGTTGGTGCTGAAGAAAGCCTATTCGTTAGAATCGAGAGTAGTTGCATTCCCTCTGAGTCGTGAAACGATGCTAATTTCATTATATCCTTAAGAAGCTTGTACAGGCATGTACCCACCCCACAACCCCCAAGAGTACAAATCAGAATGCACCATCCGCTATCCATGCAGATCAAAAGATGATACTTACTACACACATGAATGACAGAACCCAGTAAGATGTTTGAACGGGCTGTTTGCTTCACTCATGGTAGTCCGCATTCCATGTTCGAGCGACAGGGAGCATGCACAAGCGTTGCGACGGAGTCTTCGGTCGCTGACACATGTTCGCATGCAACCCCTAGATGTCAGTCAATCATGCACACCGCTGCTGGCTGCATCGTCAGCATTTATTCGTGAAAAAAACAGATATATCAGATATATCTGTCTTTCCACGTCGCCCTTCTACAATTACTCAGACAGCACCTATATGTGCTATTGTTCGAGACCACATGTTGGGGCGTGAAAGACTCTAAGGAAATCTCACTCTTTCCCTGCTGCTGCTGCTGCTGCTTGGTAGCTGGTGGTGCTGCTTGGTAGCGGCTGCTTGGTAGCTGCTGCTTGGTAGCTGCTGCTGCTGCTGCTGCTGCTGCTGCTTGGTAGCTGGTGATGCTGCTTGGTAGCTGCTGCTGCTGCTGCTGCTGCTTGGTTGTTGCTGCTGCTGCTGCTGCTGCTGCTTGGTAGCTGGCGGTGCTGCTTGGTAGCTGCTGCTGCTGCTTGGCAGCTGCTGCTGCTGCTTGGTAGCTGCTGCTGCTGCTGTTGCTTGGTAGCTGTTGCTGCTGCTGCTTGGCAGCTGCTGCTGCTGCTGCTTGGTAGCTGCTGCCGCTGCTGCTTGGTAGCTGGTGCTGCTGCTTGCTAACTACTCCTGCTGCTGCTTCTGCTGCTGCTTGGCGGCCTCTGCTTGCTGCCGCTGCCGCTGCTAGTTACAGTTATTGTTGTTGTGGCTGCTGCTGCTGCTGCGGCGGTTGCTGGGGTGGTTGTGTGTTGCCATGTGTTGGCTGTGTTGGGGTCGTATTGGGGGGGGCGCTGTTGGCACTCTCCCTTTCCCTTGGCCATGGCATGTTGCGATTCCCGGCCAGGCTTTTGCTGCCTAAAGAGCCCCAGCGTTGTTTCTTTGCCTAGCTTTCGCCACCCCCCTCTGGGCCACAAGTTTGTATCATTTAGGGCTATTATGGTCCTTGTGAACAAAGGCCGCCCAAGATCTGCGCAACATAAACCGAGGCTCAGTGATGTATTCATAGCTTCTGAAAACTTCGTGTCATTCTGTTTTCTTGGAGCCTGCGCAAAAACTCTTGAGTCGGTGCAGGTTTTTTTGGAGTCCTATTGCTTGTTCTCGTTTGATTGGATTTTTCCCATGTAAGATGTTTGCACATCATTCATGCTAGGGATTTGGTGCATAGATTTTATGTTAAGGTATTGAACTTCAGCCTGAAACCAAATGCATCCAGAAAGTGCTCTCAGAACTTAATTTCAGAAAGAAGTTGGGATTGTGTCTATGTCAGCAGTGTTCTAGGAGGGTCTTAGTGGTGTAAAAGATCAACGCAAAAACCCACATACGATTACGGTATTGGGTACGGTTGGTACTCGACGTTTACCAATTCAACCCGGTTCCAAATACAGACACGTAGAGACAAACATATACTGGTAGAAACAATGTAACTCATATAGTCACATAGGACATACATTCATACATGCGATGAATATGCAAATGTACTTGGCGCTCCTGCTGTACTTACCTTTAGCAAATGTGGCCGCCAGATGCGGTCGCCCTTGCTCCTGTGTGGGAAACAACTTTGGATTACATTATATATATTGGTTTCACTGTGCCTCTTGAGAACGATTCCGCCTTCACAAAGCCTGGTACAGTTTCATGATTTTTTCTTCACCCATTATAAAGAACCCCTCCGCCCTCCACACAAGTTTTCTACTTTTCATACAATTATTTTTTGTCTTAAAGGCACTTAAAAATAGTACCCTCCGTCTTCAAGAGTCTCATCCTTTACCCACACCTTATCCTTTCCTATGTTTTTACAATGTGTGTTTCCTTTCAGCGCACTGTTATTTTTCTTTGTGACGGCCTCACCCCGTTGGCCTTCATAGACTGCCCTGTATTTCATGAGATTATATATCCTTTTTCAAATGTGTTTCCTTTATACAGCCTTCTTCTTTTGAAAGACATCTTTCCCCTGCAAAATTGACATCATCCTTTATGGGCAACTCCTACATACTGCCAGAAGAGCCATACAAAACTTGCTGTATATAGATTGTGTCCCTGTAGAGATTTGATCCCGCATGATTGACTTTGGGCGTGCAGAAGAGGGTCCCCTGAAGACATTACACCTTCAGTCACAATGAGCCTCACTGATTGACAAAAAGGATTGGATCTCCTACTTTATGTTCTTTCTTCCAGCCCTTTATTTACTAACGCAATACTCTTCCTCTTTTCTTCACAAACTCTTTCAAATCTTAATAGGTTTGCCTTTTGCTCAAGTATATTTAGTGAAATGTTGTTTTACTGTTCCTTTTTCGATCCGCTTCTCAAAGATGTCCATACTGGAGAAACCAGGAGTTGTACCAGATGCAAGGGGATTCTTTCGCCCCCTACCCTTGCCTACAATTTTCTTGCGTAGCCGCTCCTTTTCCCCTCTTGGTTTATTATGTTAGTTTGTTCTGTTGGTAGCGAGCTCCTTGTTTGCGGTTACCAATGGGTAACACAATCCAGCTGGCATTACAACTAAAAAGCATGAGGGGCCAAGGAAAATTACTGAACTTGCTTGGTTCTGGTGAGGTGGCAGAGAAGAAGGTAATAGCTTCGAAGAGAGTGCAGGTCCCAAGGGTACTACTACCAACGCGGAAGCAAGAACCTAGATTCCCGCCAAGTTTTGTGCCTTTTATTCTTGGGTTTTTGGCTCCTGGTAGGTAAGAGTACTTCATAGTACTTCTTAGTACCTTGCCAATCCTCTAATTTACATGTGTGAATAGTAGTAACAATTCTTTGCATGTTCCCGCGACACAACATCAAGTCAAAAAGACCATACAGATATTTGTTTGTACACATTGACTCATGCATATGCAGCTGCATGTTGACTGGGACTGTGCCACGGTGATATCAAGGCCGGAAGTATCCTTGGAGCAGCCTCAAGTCCCCTGTTGTTTCTCAAGAAATGTTCATCTCATGACCTTTGCAATCATTCAATTTATTTCTTGTTTCTAATAGCTTCTTGCTCCTAGTAGTATGGCCAGGAGCCCCTAGTAACTTCTTGCTCCTAGTAGCGATGCCCTTTGTTCCTAGTAGCGTGAAGGCGTGCAGCTACTGTGTCCGCTAGATTGGCATCCTTTGATGAACAGGAAGCTGGTTGCACCGTGAATGTGGCCACGTCTGCCGCCTTTGATTGCAACGCAGCGCTGAGCAACTTCTTCCGTCATTTGGTCCAACGGCACGTTTGCCTTGGGGAGGTGTCAGCGGTCCCTAAATAGATGGAACGTTGCAAAAGGGTCTTGTTCGGCCAAAACTGTTTGTTTGTTTTTTCCCCGTGTTCCTTGGAATCGATGATGTGGCTTCTAGGTCACCAATGTGGAAAGTACAAGAGAACTCCCAGCTGACTGGAAGCACGATATATATTATATATATAGAGATTCAGCCAAATACCCTCAAATTTTGTTGAACCTGCAGTGTTATTTTGTCGCCGAGGTTGTGGCCTCAACCAACCCTAATCAATTGTAATCCCATGCATTTGGAGCTTCACAGTGGGCGGAACAAAATTTCCACATTTGTTGGTACGTTCCACCGTGAGTAAGTCCCAACATGGTTTCTTTATATTTATATATATTACTGTAATATATATATATATGTGTGTGTGTGCGTGTGTTTTTTCTAGTTTACCAGCAGTTTGTCTTCGAGTCTTCGAGGGCAACACAAAGCACAGCACAGGTATGGAGACAGATGATAAGATATCATCGCGTGTCACAGCTCTGATGATGTACTGTCCTCCAACCCTGTTTGGCAGAAACAAAGATTACTACTTTATGATGCATGGCTCATGTTGATTACTTTATGGTGCATAACGTGAATGCTTGTGTGCTGAGGAGCTTGGTCACCCTCCAAGAAGCAGTGGTGCTGCACACAAGAGGGCAAAGGTTGCGAGGGCAACAGCCCCCCGCATGTGGATCCCGGCTTCGGAATGGTTTGGAAGCACGTGCAGGCATGGGGCCAAGTTCGTTTGTGTCAAAAGGATGCAAGTCCCGGAAAATCTACACAGTGATGTCCCAGAGGGCAAGCTGCCTTGCAACACATACGTTGGAATTTGAAATCAAAGGTGCAGAGCCTATGCGAGTACCAACTGCATGATGCGTATAAACATAAGGGCCGTGGCAGCTAACCGGCCACAAGTAGTAGAACAACAGTGGTTCATAGCGATTCACCATGTGCCATACTTTGCGAGGTGCATGGCTATTGGACATGGCAGGCAGTAGGCGGAGGCCATGTGAAGTTGCCGTACGAAACCTGGTTGCAGTATAACGCACTGAGTACTATTGGGCCCGTTTCAGAATGTGCCTTTGGTGCTCACATGCATCACCAAGGATTGTCACGCTGGCTTGGCAAATTTCCAGATTGGTTGGTCCAGCGGCAAGAGGGAGCCCTGGCTTGGTACGTGCACGTTCTGGGCGGGGGATCAGGCCCTGGAACAACCATGTGCTAGGTGAGCTTGTTCTTGGACAGAATTTGTGACAATCGTTTGAAACCAATCCGCCCGCGGCTTGTGAAATTGTTTGCCAAGCTTTCAAGGTTTTTGTCAAGTTGTGTGAAATCCAAGCTTTGAGACTGAAGTTCCATTTGAGAAGTCTATCAGTTCTTTGGAACTTCAGCAATACATTGCTGCAATGTCAGCAGCTTTGAGGCCTGGTGCTGCTCTAAGCAACACTTGGGCTGTGGTGCCGTTGGCGGAGCTGCTAGCGCCGCTGGCGCCGCTGGCGGGTTCGCTGCTGGAGCTGCGGGAGCCACGGGCGGCGAATTTGTTCACCATACAACAGCACCCGGGCTAAGCCAAAAAGAACGATGCAAAAAGAACCGCGATGGCCTCCAACCTAATAGCGAACTTGTCCATTCCAGAAAGAACGGAAAGACCTCTTTGAAAGATTCTGAAAGTTTAAGCACGTTCCTGTGAGAGGCCTTTCTGGAGATGCGTCCCTGCATTTTGTCAATAATTGTTTGCTGCAGCCACTTAGGTGGTCATGGATCATGCTGCCCATGGAAACCCACCAGCTATGGCTGCGCGTGGGATGATGTGGCACTGGGCACATTCCGGTGGCCATTGGCATTGGGTGACCGGAATGCACTATTTGATGCCAGTCATTGTGCTTGGCGTCGTTTGTGTGGGTGGGGGCGAGTTTAACGGGGATTGCAAGACAGAGACGGAAAGAGAGAATGAGAGAGAGAGAGAGAGATTCAGAGAGAGAGAGAGAGAGACCCCAAAGTGTTGAGAAAAGCAATCGCTTCGTCTCTTTCACTTCTTTCCCGGCCCCACCGGAGCTTTGGAGTGCGGCAGGAGCTCACTCACTTGCGTTGCTCAGGTGCAGATCCATGCGGGTGGACATTTGCCCTTTGATTGCGAGGCTGGCTTCGCGAAATGGCAGACCGGTTGGTCTGGATCAAAGAAGCAGTGGTGCTGCCAGAACATGGGCAACATGGTTTGAATTGCAATATGTTGGGTAAACGGGGGGTTGCCCCGACAGCAACATGCACAGGGCTAGAAAAGCATGCGTGTTTCATGTGTGTTTTTTTGCCTTTCGGGTCACTAAACTTATCGTTTTGGAGTTCGATGACTTGAGTGCGTGGATTTTCAAGACACGCAGGTCTGCTGTCCAGTCTCTCCCGTCCTCCGAGACACGGGAGCAAACATCAATGTGGGCATCCAAAAAGAGACCGAACAAAACACAACAAGAGAACTAACGACAAAAGCAAACCTCAAACGTGGAACCCGCCATGTCCTCTAAAACTCTAAGCCGAAAGCGCAACTAATGTCGATTTACGCGAGTAATAGTAACACGAACGAAACTGTCCCCAGCCCCCCCCAATCCCCCCCGAAAACCATGTTGGTCGTCAGAAAGGTTTGCTTTCGGGCAACCCCCTTTGTTGACCATGTTGCAATGTCACCTGGAGCGGGGAATGGCACGCCAGCATGGCCTTGCTGCCGGATTTAAAACAGCGGTTAGGCCAACAAAGACTAGGAAGAGAATGCACCAAAAACATATCTCATTTAAAAACTGTGTGAACTGGCCGTAACTGGCATTGGAGGAAAACACATTGGATCATTGGCAGTCAAACTTCTTGTGCGCTAAGGCAAAGGTTGCCAATGAGCGATTCCTGGATCTCAGAACTCGTAGGTCGAATCCTCTATAAAATTCGAGGTGCGGTGGACTGACGCCGTCTCAAAGTGGATTTATGGTGTTGATGTATGCTGCATGCTTCAACTTCAGGATTGCAGATGTGTGATCCCAAGTCACAAAGAGGGACTTTGACTGCAAAGGAGTTGGTTTGAATGTAATATAACCAACATTGCAGGGAACTGTTACTTGCATGACCTACTGCCCCTCGTTTAACTACCCGGACGAACGAAAGGAATGGAGGGTGATGACAGAAAGCGCTTGGCAGGTTGCACGGATGCATGCAGACACTGATCAGTGGCATGGACAAAGACTTTTCCCTCTGCTGCCCTACTGGACTGCGAGATGTCACAACTCTGAGTGTTTGTGCCGCACGGAAAAAAGAGAGCGTGGGACTATGTTGAAGACGTGGGGCAATAATTCCATTTTGCCAGACAAATTTGTGTTTGGGCATATTGACATATATGGTCAGTCCTTAGAGCGCAGCAGAAGCGCGTGATGGCTGATTGATTTTGACCCTCATACTTGTTTGTAGTAGCACCGATGCGTCAGCTATGGGACTGAGTTCTTGCCATTTTGGCCCTTGTTGCTGTGCCCACCGTTGGCTCAAAGTCTCACCTGTTATTGATGTGCTAGCTTTCCTCTTCATTATTCCTGTTTCTTCAACAAATCGCCAAACTTTCAGTTGTATCAGCTCAGATATGCGAATTCAATCGAATTCACATATACTGGTATGATTTGGTATGTAGATTGTATATGCCACAGGCCACCATTGCAGATCTCAAGACACAAATGTCCTGACAATCAACAAGCCAAAAGCAACAGATCTGCCACGGATTTGGGATGCAATTGCTGTGGGATGCCAGCTGCTCAGAGATCAGTTCCCATGATGGCTCCAACTTCTTCAGACGCTCTTCTGTATAAAATGTTTGACACTTTCAGACTCTTTTGGACGCCCCCCTTAACCACTAGTGCAATGTGTGGCATTGAGAAGGGCTCACTCTCATGGCAGAAGACTGAGCAAAATCTGAAGAATAAGACTCCAACAAGTCCACCTCTCAATCACCCCTGAGGAACCCTGCGCCTGCCACGATTCTTCGAAGTCGGGGTGGCGGGGAGCCACAATAATTAATTACAATATGTTTTTTTCAGAGAAGCGCATCGAGACCAAATCATTCATTAGTTTCTGAGGCTATTCTGCGTCCAGTTACTAGAAGCTTTAGTAGCTAGGAGCGAACTTCTCCCTTACTTATTCAAATAGGCGCCTACTTAATTAGTTAAGGAGGCAGGGCCACTCGGGCTTAAAAAAGGGAAACCTTGGTGTGAATTTGGGGGTCCGCACAACTCGTTGAAAGCAAGCTTGGCAGGTGCGATATACTCTGTGTGCTTCGCCTCGCCTGAGCAGCTCCTTAGCACAAAGCTCAGCCTCCGGGCTAAAGCAGCTAAGGAGCAGAGTTGTCTAGGGAACCCAAGATTGTAAGGCAACACATGGTAGGGCCATGGTTTCTCGACATGAAGGGCTGCCATGAGCAGATTCGTAGCCATAAGGTGGCAGCTTGGCTGGAGAGGTGTCGCACGCGTATGCGGAGCTTTGCATCCTCACATATATATATATATATAATCTATCTATATATAAATATATAATCTATCTATCTATAAACATATATATATATATATGTGTGTGTGTTAATGACGTGTGAAGTCAGCATGTTGGTAGAAAAGCCTTAATCATTTGGAATTTGGTGTTGGCTAAGCGAAAGCTGCAGACCATATTGCTTTGTATGGAAGGTGGCGCACGATGGTCACAGTGGTGTTCCCTTTCTTGCCCTCCAACCTAAAAGCGAAGGCCTCCAACCTAAGAGCGAAGGCCTCCAACCTAAGAGCGATGGCCTCCAACCTAATAGCAATGGCCTCCACCTCCAAATGCCTCCAAAGTTCCTGTTCGCAGGTGTCTCTTTGGGATCTGCAGGATCAACGTCCGGTTGGAAGCCCAGCAAGATTGTCGCAGCTGGATTATTTTTTTCGCAAGGTGGGACTCGATCCTGGCAAACATCATATGCTATCCCAGAGTATTGAATAAGTCAGCAACATTGGCAATGGTACCCCTGTTTTTGTGGAAGTAAAAAATGTAAGAGCAACAGCACTTTGGCTTTGTGACTAGATTCCAGGTCGACTAGACCAGTCACTATTCCTGGTTCCAGGCATGGACTTGGAAGGCTTCGACACAGACAGCTGCCGCCTGAGGTTTCAGGGCGTGAGGTTGTGTTTTTGAAAGGCCGAGCTAGCAAACTTGGCTATAGTGACGCAATTATATATATTATGTATATTGTTTCATATTTTTTACATATATAAATGAATCAAATGTAAATAATGGGGCTAGGCCAGACTCGGCAAGACATTGCCCCCCTGTGTTGTCGACTCAGGCTCCTTTTCCTCATCGGTGTTCAAAGGTTTTTGTCGTGGAGCAGAACCATGGGATCCAGCCAGACAAACCTGTTCTCAGGAATGGCACTAGCGTTCCGTACAGACTGGACTTATTTACAGTCTTTTCTTTGATGCGCTGGTCTGTGGATGTAGTGTAGGCTGGAGATCCTTGAACTGTTTGCACTCCATGAGCGGCTCTTGGAGTGACTCCGACCACTTCACTCGCACGCGTCATTCATTTTGTTTTGCCTCCTTCCGTGGCTACTCGAGGTTCTATCTGTTCAATGTTTTGAAGGGTGTTGCCTGAGTCAAGGTAAAGATGGCAGGCAGGGCAATGCACCCTTTCCTGACAAGATTTGGGTGTAGCCGCTGTCCAGTTAAGTTTTGTGCCGGATGGCATAGAAACGATTACAGAAGGACAATTCAAGGACATTCAGGTTCTCTTGGGTGCCTCGTTGCACCGCTTCTATAAACATTCAGCAAATGCAGCAAGTGCCGGTTTAGTCTTTCTCAGTGGAGATCCTCAATCGTCCGCCCGTCAGGGTGAAGTTGTGGGACATGCAAAGTCAAGAGCTCCAGTGGGAGGCACTGTTTCACATGTGAAACATGAAGCCAATAAGTCCGGCTGCTTTTTGATACTTTTTGTATGTGTCAGGTGTTTGTAGACGAAGGATCAAGCTTGAAGTCAGAAAATGATGGAATCGCATATAAGATCATATAAGTCGTATAAGCCGTATTTATGAAGCTTTGAGTTTTTGGCCAGAGTTTCTCTCCGCGGGCCTTTCAGCTGCAAGCCGCTACACAACCTGACTGGACTGACGACGAGGCTGGCGCCTAGCAAGAACACATTTGGGACACCCAAAACATATCAATTTCTCTTGATGTTGTGAGGGAAGTGCCTCAGAAGGTCTCGCAAGGTTGACGTGGGGCAAGCCTCCTCCTTGAAGATCTTGAAGGGGCCAAGAAGTTGTGCCTGAACTGTGATGCATTTATGCCATTGCAGCCGGCAAATTCTGAAACCAAAGATTGACGCACCCACGAAGTTTGGCCCGTGCAAGCGCTATCACTGAGTAGGTTTTTGGATGGTGCTCTAAGATGTGGTTCGTCATGATCCTTCATTCAGCTATATACGTGCAGCCATTTATTTTTGGACTGACACACACACACAAAGAGTCAGGTGGGCTTTGCTGGCTTCTATTTGATGTCTCGCGTCCTTTGGCTTTATCCAAGTGAATTGAACTGCTGCTGTATGATATAGCTGCTATTATATAGCTGTATATATTATACGGACACATGTTTTTGCTTATTATTCAGTTGCCGCGCTGAAGGCATGTTGGCTTTTCTATCAGACTTAGCACCATGTCATGGACATATTGACACCTGATAGGTCTTTGGCCTGATGTTGCTTCTAGGTGAGTTTCATTTTTGAAAATCCAGCTGGTGCGTGCCCTTCGCCCACCTCAAAAATTGAGGCGAAGGGAAGTGCTCGACCTTTGCTTTTGCTCCTCGTGGCTGCCTGTTTGTCTCCTGGCAAATTTGTTATATGATTCTGAGTTTGCAGAGGAAAAAAAGCAAAGCAAAGCAGGGGATGTTCTTGTTGACATGTGTGAGTGTGCTTTTTTTTTACTCGGGCTATCCCATGTCAGAGGAGCTCCCACAAAGTTGTCCTGACAGAGGTATTGGAAACGAGACTTTTGGAACGGGAGTATGTATTTAATACTTGATCTATCGATTTGATACTGAGGAACAAGTCGATTGAGACACCATCAAAATCTCAAGCATGATGGGATATGATGACATCAATTTTGCATATGCACCGGCATTATCCACATATATCCACCAATCAATTATGGCATTTGGCAATTGCCGAGGGCCTTTGTTGTTTTGTAGGCTCCACTGGTCCCACAGGAACAGCTTAAATGCACCTTACATTTGTACAGTGTACACTCAAATTCTCCACCTCTTGCGTCAAGGCGCTTTGCAAGTGTGGGCTTTGCCGGAGCTGGAGCTGGCACGCGCTTTGATGTGCACAGAAGGATGACAGATTGCATAGGTGCAATTAGAAATATGTGCAGGGAACCTAAGGATTACTATGTTACTATGTTGTTGGCGTATTTGCCAATTGCCCAGGCTACGGGCTGGGTTTGGTTTACCACTTCAGAACCTCTTGTTTGACTGCACTGCCGCAAAACACAATTCCACCTCGAAGATGCTGAAGCAAGGTTTGGAAGTGACCAACAAAGCAAGGGGAGCTCGTGTTAGTTTCTTTTTCTATCGTATCCTAGGCCTGAACGATCTGTGACCTCCTTGGCGGCAAGCGCAGGGGATGTGGAGGCTTGAAGCAATTCACAAACCAAGTTTGATTTCTGCTAACCTCTAGCCATGAAGTTGCCAGCTGCAATGAGCATATGTGGCTGGATCCATTGATAGATTGTTTTGGTGGAGTAACCATCCACTTCAAAAACACAAAATGAAATCAGTCTGCAGGTGACCCGAAAGCAAGCGCTGCTTGTTTCTGCAGTCCTGGCCAGTGGCGCCTCAAGCGCGCACGCTGAGGAGCCATTGGAAATCGAGTAGATTGGCCCGACCATCGTCCAAGTGTTGAATCCTACACGCATGAAGATATTATGCCCAAAACAGCCAGCACCCCAATCGTCCTGAATTTTATATATCGCGGTTAAAACAAATTGTATAACTATATATATAATATATATATATGATGCTACCTGTTTCTCTGGAATCTCCATGGCACAGGTTTTGGCTGATGGATATGTTTGAAAATGAAAAGTTCCCTTCACTTCACCACGTTTTTCTTACCACTTGCATGCCAGTTTAGAAGCTGTTTGGCCGTGTGAAGGACATGAAGTTGAAGGTGAAGTCACTCATGAAGGAGGAGAAGTTCAAGTGACGAGAAGCAGAATGGTATGCCGGCATGCCCAAACCGAGTGAGATATATGTGTTCGATTTATGCTACTTTTGCTGTCCAAGAAATAGTTGGAACAATGCATTCAGAGCTGGGCCTTGCATCAGGACCCCACTCCCAACGACAACGGCGCACCAGAAAAGCACATCCCAAAGGTCACGGTCTCTGATGGATCGGTGGAGGTGCTGGTGCCCCATGTCATGGACAAGGCAGCGAATCAACAGTCGAGCTTCAGCGTTACAGTAGAACAAAGTCCATGACTGTGTCCGTGCACCTGCTGTTCAAAGCGATACCTATTGTGGTTTGCTGCAAGTGCATTCGCATGTACAAAACATTACATTTACGCTACACTATGAGATTTGGAGTACATATATATCACGAAAGCTAGCATGCTAGCTGAGTTCTTCTTTGCTTTAGCAATGTATTGGGATGGGCTGCGTGCCTTAAAGATTGATATATCAAGCTAACCCCCGCCCCCCGCGGTTCAACTCCCAGCTGTGCCTCTTGAGGGGATCTATGCGTATTCTTTCTACCAGCTACCTTTTAACATTTTAAAAAATATTGATAGCACAGCTCCGTCTGCGCAGCCCTCTGCAGCCCTCTCAAAAATGATCGAATACCCAGGGTTGTGCCAGCAAAATTGTGTGAATATTTAAATCATTCTATATCATTCCTCCATGCGTTTCCTGCTTTGTTGCTGCTGCTGCTGCTCCTTCTCCTGCTCCTCCTCCTCCCCTGCTGCCTGCTGCCCCTGCTGCCAACTGCCTGCTGCTTGCTTCCTTGCCTGCTTGCCAGCCTGCCTCCCTGCTTGCCTGCTTGAGTGCTTGCCTGCTGGAGTGCTTGCTTGCTTGCTTGCCTGCTTCCTTCCTTGCCGGCTGGCCTGCCTGCCTGCTGCTTGCTGCTGCCTTTGCTACTGCCTTTGCTGCTGCCTTTGCTGCCTGCTGCTGCTGCTGCTCCTCCTCTTTCCCTGCTGCCTGCTGCTGCTGCTGCTCCTCCTCTTTCCCTGCTGGCTGCTGCCCCTGCTGCCGCCCCTGCTGCTGCCCCTGCTGCTGCCCCTGCTGCTGCTGCTGCTGCTGCTGGGTTCTGCTTTTTTGACCTCAACGACCGCAGCGCGGTAGAGAAACCGCCAGTGTGCTTCCGCTAGCTTTCGACCTCCTCCCCTTGGCCTCAAGTATATGGAACTGTCGGAAATGATCGTAAGCAGGTGCGGTGAGGCTGATGTTCTTTGAATGAGGGTAAAGTTCTGAGTTCTTGGCAGCCCTGTGGTGACCTGCGACTACAAGTGACTGATAATATTATTCTACTGTCCGGCCAGTGCCAGGAAAAGCCACACTACATTGAGTATGTTTGGGTCTCTGCTCCTCGGGTTGCCCAGTGACGGTGGGTGCGGAATGATACTGGCCGGGCATTTGCACTAAGTCGTATCTCACCACCAAGAGTCGTGTCTACCCAGTATGTGATTGTTGTTTTGATATGTTTTGGGAATCGGGCTGTGGCCTTACCATCAGAAGTTTGGAAAGCACGTATTCTTCCATTTGTGAAGAATTGAGCAAATCGTTTCTAGCACTGCCCAGGGTTTGTTTCGCGACGAGGCTGTAGCATTTCGGTCCGTTTGTGTCTTCCCTGATTAGCTGTGGCCATGGGGAATGCGTTGAAGTGATGTGATGTGACTTGTATTTGTAGAAACTCGATGACTTTACTTTTGAGAGACTGTGGCCGCAACCGGAACAAATGAAAGGGGCCGGGCAAAGCCAAACTAAGGACGCGAGCACTGGGGAGGTGCTCTCGGTGAAGTCCTTTGCGCCCACCGATGCCTCGCCCCCGACGCTTACAGCTTCGTTGCCCAAGGGCACCGTGGCCAAGCCCATGCCACTGGGCAAGCATCCTGGTGGAGTCGAACAATAAAACTGCAAGTGGTGTTGTTGTTTCATATTCAACTATAGTAACTAGATGCAACATGATACAACTATAGTAATTAACCATGTGCAAGTGATAAGTGGTAGTGGGCCTTCAATCGTTCCACAGCTGAGAACACTGAAGGGTGAGAGAAGGGATTAACAAATGAACAGCTTGCAGGCGCTTGCAAAGCACATCCGACCTGGGATGACCTGGGACTTGATTGATGTTCAATTGATTTGATCATTTGTGCGGGGCCCTCATGGGCCCTCCTTCAATCCAATTACTTCACAAGGATTTGAATGTTAATTTTCCAGGAGCCAATCTCTTCTACACATTTGTCCTTGAGAGGGAAACCCTTCTGCAAGGCAATTGCAGTAACCTGCAAATATCGTGTTGGAAACCATTTGCTTGGACTCGTTTGGAATCCGAGACCCTGCCGATGACCAGCAAATGCAAGTATGCAAGTGTGATATAGTATAGTTGCTACTTCAGTAGCTCGGTCATGAGTTTGATCTTCGCCCGCCAGTTATTGCTTCAAACTGTTGAAGTGTCGGATTCGACACCAAATGGCCATGAAGGCCATGGCGTAGGCGGTTTCGGATGGCCGAAACCAGAGATCTCAAGGTGCGGGTGGCTGATGCACAGGGCCTCCGACTGATGTCTGGTGGAGAGATCCGGCTCGTCATCACACTGTGTGCCTCAGATGACCTGCAAGGCGAAGCCTTTGGCGCGAAGGTTACACCTTGGCTGAAGGTTCGATTGGGCAAAGGAAGACCTGTAATTATGGATTAACTATATTTGTGTAATATATTAATATACATCATTGTAGATCATCCATTCAGTAGTGAACTTAAGCATATCGTAAATCAGTCCAATTGTGCTTCGCATGGAACATGGGTGAACAACAGGTTCAGTAGGTGGAAAGTGAGTACGTTGCACGTGTAGTTTGTTCCTTGGTTTCGCTTGTTGTTGGAGGTACCCACCGATGAGGCGCCACAGTGGAAGGCCAGGGAAGCCTTGTTTGCTGTGCCTATGGAGCGGTGCTTTGAGGCGACCTTCGTTGACTCGGCTCATTTGCAAATTGCTTTGATGCAGAAGGGTCATGCGAGCCCTCAAGAGCGGCCTAACAAGTCGATGGCCCAGCAAGTGGGATCACTAGGATTTTCAGCTTTGCAAGGGGGCTTGTCAGCCTTGCGAGTCGAATCCTTTCCTTTGGGATCTGCAGTTAATTTGGGTTTTGAACGTCAGAGTCAAGGTGGTGAGATGATCGGCATCTTAAAGATTCCGGTGGGCCGTCGATTGGCATGCGGACAAGGAGGGAATGATGGAGCTCAATGGGTGCAATTGCAAAAGAATGAAACTGTGAAGGGAAGTCTTCTCTTGGAGCTCGCAACCGACGAGCACCTTGAGGCAATGGCAGCGGCTGTAATTTCACCTGTTGTGCCCACTGCATCCTTTGCCCCCGCAGTGTACTCTGCGCCCGCTGCGCCGTTGGGCCCCACTTCGCCTTCACACAGGGATGCGATCCATAGCCCAGAGCGTTCGGGCTCAGAGATCCGTGAGTCCTCGCCAATCACTTCAAGCCAAAGTGGACAGGGATCTCGGAGCGCATGCCAGTCAGACTCTGAGAGTGGGACTCGGGATGGTCTTGGTGAGCACTCTGACGGCCCAGAGTTTGAGGCAGGCAGTGTCAGAAGTGCCGAAGAAGAGGCTTTCTTGAAGTCCTTGAGTGCAGAATCCAACAAAGTCTTGCTGGAGATGAGCCAGGCCAAGCCTTCAGCACCTCGGGAGTGGCGGCCAAGGGCTTCTCCCACGACACAGTCGGAAGACAATGTCAACATTTTTAACATCAACGAGTCCGGTCGAGGATCAAGCGTTGGGCGATGGCTGAAGTGGTCAACAGCGCCTGTCAGGTTGTCCTCTTTGCGCTCTGCACTGGATCCTGGCGTGCGTCAACAGAGAAAGGAGGTGCGAAAATGGCGCCAGTGGCATGAGGTTTTCTGCGTGCTGAATGCGATAGAGCATCATTTGAGTGAGATCATGTCTGGACTGCGGCAGGCTGAGGCTTCAATGAGACGCTTTGGCCAAAGTCATGGTTCGGAAGCTCTTCGCGAACCATCCAGATTGCCAGCTTTTCTTTGTGACGCAGCACTTTACTACCAGAGTGAAGCAGCTGTTCCTGCACATTTAGAGGACCAGCTTTCCCAATTGGAAGCTCTTGCAGATGAGTTCCGGGGGATCTCATTGGAACCTGACGTGAACACCCCTCGGCCGGAGAGTGAGGATCTGAGGGTAGACATCGCCGTGCTTCTCGAAAGCCTCATCATGGGTAGCTACCAGGCATTGGCCGAGTACAAAAAGATGCACTGCAGATTAGAACTCGTGGCCAAAGAATACGAACCTTTGTGCCGTTTGGAGGTTGACAATGCTTCCAAGACTTTTCTGCCCCTTTTGGTGGATGTCCCAGTCCCAGCTGTACTTCCGGAACAGGCGGTGCAGTGGGCTGAAGACTTCTCCCAGTTGGTTGGCAACGCTTCAGTGATGTTAACAGCTCTAGTGCGAGAGCTGCAAAGTCGCAAGGGGCACTTGGGCAGCTCTTTAAGTGAGCTGCGCTCGCTGCTCTTAAGACATGCTGCAGGCGACTAGAAAAAGAACTGGGCCCTTTAGCCTATAGCCAATTGAATCGTCGTTTTGTTCACCTGGTGGTTGGATGCACTTTGGTATAGCAAGGAGAGCCCGCGCATAAGAGCGTGAAAGAACAAGCGTGATATGTAGTAACAGCAGAGTGTTGCTGACCTTTGTGACATAGTAGAAACAAGAAGCTACTAGGAACAAGTGCATCGCTACTAGTAACAAGAAGCCACCTTGTGTCATCAAGGCTCTTTTGCAACCTGCATGGCCTTTGGGAGGGAGAGAAGTTCACTGTGTGAGCGGCACAGATTGAGAGCTGTTCGGTCAGGATGGGGTTCAAGGCAAGCGACAGTCCAAGCACACTACAGTAATGCGCCATGGTCATCAGCGGTGTTCATCAACTGTAGAAGTGTTCTTTCCCCCATGCCCCTTGTGAGACTAATGTATACTAATGTTCTTTTTGGCTGGTCATGAAGTAGATAAGGGCAAGAACTAATCTTTAATCATCACGTACGCCTAACAATTGCAGGCTCTTCAATGGTTGTCATGGACCACCGAGAAGATACATCAGGCAAACCTCAGATCAGCCTGTAGGAAAGGGATGATGCGGCGTACCCTTTTTCTAGGTTGCATGTCCGATGTCACAATCAGATATGGAAAGACAATGAAAGACATGTCTCAGGGCCCCCTCAGCACCAAGCGATTAGTGATTTGCCTTCTACCCAAGCCTGCCTGTTTGATTTGGCACGAACAAGCTCCAGACCCTTTGGTCCGTGGCAGAGATATGCCTTTGGGCATTTAGATCATCATTTGCTGTATGTATATAGACCTCTTTTGTCAAGAGGCAGACCTAGCAGACCAGCCACGAAGAGTGGAAAGAAAGGATGAAGACAGCTTCAGGTGACTGAAAGTGATGAAACAATGCCAGAGTCTTCGGGAGCTTTAACATTCAGCCAGTCCAGAATGCTAGGTTCGCTCCACCTTGACTTTACGGTGGCCAGGTTTCAACTGGCAGCTGCTCCTTTTGCAGAGTCCTCCCTCTAGGCTGCTTGGTGTACGTTAGGGTTGTGATCATGTACGATCAGGAGTTTGTCATTCAGAGTTTTATGGCCACATGGAACGAATTCCCATCTCCTTGCGCATTGTTCTAGTTTTGTTGGGGGCAAGCTAATTTGATTCTGTGAGTCTTTGAGAATACTGAATTGAATTCAGTTTGTTCAAGCTGTTGAGCACGAAATCCGGCAGATACCTCTGGCACATTCTCGCACGGAGCTGAGCGGTCTTTCTTGAGTCTCTGACAAGTCTGGCGACCTGCCATTCTGAATGTTACGTTCCATTCCGGAAGTATGCTTGAGCTTGGGGGACGTTAGTATGCCCAGCTGCCACAGAATCAGAGAATATGGAATGGACTTCGCTGCTCAGTGTGGCGTCAGGTTCTGCAGCCCCCTTTCAGAGCCAGAGGAACTTGGTATTTTCGATGCTCGGGCCTGGAGGCTCAGGAGTGTTTTCAGTCGCGAGTCCGCAAACAGTAATTCACATTATTTCATTTTTGGTCTCGTTCACCAAGAGTTTGAAGAAACCATGATGCATGTGTCATCTATTTATGTCAAAGGAGTGGTAGTCAAGTTTTTTGTTAAAGAAATGTATAAAAACATGATTTTCAAATAGCATATCCTCCAATTACGTATCTCATCCAAATTGTTTTAACGGGCTAAATATGTCAATTGAAACAGCACTACGTATATATATAATAGAAGATATAGAAGGGTGAAGGAGTTGGAGATGGTGGAAAGGGTGACCTACCCAGAATACAAGAGTAGATCACTAATTAGATAATTAGATCGCGACGATGGAGTGTACATGGCCGTGTTTGTTAATTGTTTTTCACAATCTCTTTGTCCAAGGCCCCACAGCCTCAGCCTGCAACTGAGCTGGCTGGCACATGTCGCCAAATTTTTGCACTTGGAAAGCCAGGTCTTTGGTGCCACCAATGGTGACATGAAGATGTGCTTCATAGATGTTCTACGTTCAGAATCCATGAGTCAGCCCGCCCACGTTCGCAATCCTTACAGTCAGTAGACCCTAGAGGACATAGAATGCCTGTAGGACCCGAGGACCGATTGCAATTTGTGCAACTTTCTTGATTTGCTGTGCTGAGAACAAATCAAGCATGCTGCTGCAGCCTCGTATTGATATTGCTTTATAGAATTGGTATACACTTGTAGTTTGGCAGTGCGCGTGGGTGTGTCAAATGTTGATGCATCCAGACCAACGCTTTTCTGTTTAGCATGAATGAAAGAAGCAAGCTTCAGACGTTCAAAGAAAGATGTGCAGCTGTCCCACAACCATGCTGAGGATTGGGCACCTCGTGTTGCCCAGGCCAGTCAGCCAAGATTGGATTCAAGGGCACTCCTCACTAATCGTAGGAGCGTGAGACTCGTAGTAGTCTATCGTGCCCTGAGACAATGATGTGAGTGGTGCACTTTGTGGGTATTCAGTTATATATATATATATACAGTAGTCCTGAGAGGGCCGAAATCCCATTGGAAAGTGATACGAGGAGTATACAAGGGCGACCCGGCCTGACGTCTGGAAACAGTGCGGTCAGCAGAAGAGTTAAGTTATACTATACATTTGTTTATAGCACTTCTTTGCATGTTGTTCGCGAGATAAATACGCATGGAGAGTGTGTTTGTGTGATTTGCACAATGTCCATGTTTGTCATTTGATTTTTGGCAATGTCATTTTATGGTATTATCGACGAGTTGTGCCTGTTGACGTATCATGTGTGGCCGTTTGGATGAGACCAGGTCAGTCCATGATTGATTCAAAACCATAGGACTGTGGCATTCCACCCGTTCCTGCCCGAAATGTTTGTTTAAAACTGCTTAGTTGCAACTACATGACTCATCCATGGCTTTTTCAGAATTGTACCTGGGCCCTTGTGGGGCTTTTTAAGATTCCATCGACCTTAGTCCAGAGATGTCCAGAGGAGGGTGATGCTGCGAGCCAGGGCAGATGGAACCTCCTCTCCAGGGACAGAGCCCTGGCAAACTCGTTTGAAATGATCGTAATGTTGCCACAAGAACCGGTGACGGTGACATTGACATTCTGAAGAGCACTGAAAAGGACAAAGAAGACGATTCATGTTCGCATTTCAGCAATTCCATTGCTTTCACACACCTTGTGGTTTGTCATTTTTTGTTGCTCCTTGATCCAACACTTGATTCACACTGGACATCAGACTTGGAGTCATGACCGCCAGGATGTGCATGGATTTGTGCCATTGTCCGGCTTTGGGTTTGGGCCTCAGATACTCTTGTCAAGCAAGACAGCAGTTCCAAGGCATTTTGCTTCCCTGTGGGGTTTGATAGCTTTTGAGAGCAATGTGGCAGGGCCTGCCAAACTGTTCGAGAGCATGAACCATCAACTCACTTGGCCAGGGTCAAAAACTTGTTGCTGGCTACCGGCCTTCCGTGGCCTTGACGTTGGAAAGCATGAGCATTGGCTTCGGTTTGCAGCTGTTGGGCTTGCACTAAGTGGGCATGTTTGTAGTGTTGCCCAGGGCCCGAAGGCATCTCAGTTGCAATTGCGCCGTCTCCCAGTCCCAATTTTTATGCGACGTTTATATAATATACTAATTAATTACACTACAAATGATATACAAATTACTAACCGATCACCAAGCACTCAATTCTACGTTCCAAGGTGCATGGTGACGGTCAGTGCCAATCATGCAGCGGGATGAGAAGAGAGTTCGATGCGCTCCTCGGCTTTCCCCTTGCAGGGTTGGGGAGTTACACGTTGATCTTCAACGTTCAACCGCGCCGATGACGTCCGCCTTCATTGCCATTGACTTTGCTGTTGGTCCTTTGTCAATTAACGTTTCTTGACACATGATTTGTTTGTAGATCCTTTCCGGAAACAAGGACCGATGGAGCCGGCTTCGGGGCGATCCTGGCTTGATGCTTTCAGCGGTGGTCGCTTTCATCAAAAGAATCCAATTCGACAGTAGCTGCCTATATATAATGAACTGTAGGTACTAAAGTTACAAAAGACATTGTTTGTCAGGGTTTATGAACACCCCTAAGCAGCTGAATCAGGCCCTCAAGGTCTCAAGGACACTTGGAAGAGTCTCACGGGGTGTTGTGACTAGTGAGCTTATAGCTGCGCCCATCTCGGAGGTGACAATCGGCTTCAATGCCTTCATGTGCCTTGCCGCAATGGTGGAGCTAACAAATCAGAACAAACTCAAAGAACGTGAAGGACAAGGGGCGAGCAAGGACGCTACTAGGGGCTCCTGGCCTACGACTAGGAGCGTTCGGACGCTACGAACGGGGCACAAACAGCGAGGCCGAACACGGACAGCCCTTTACAAGGGAACTAGGGCATCGTAGAATTTAGAGTGCGTATCGTGTGGCCACTCCGCAGGTATAGTTACGGCTTTTTCAGCTGCAGACCTGGCGGGCACATATGGCAGACAATCTCAGGAGATTTGGCTAGATTCAATTGCTTGGGCATGGGTTGTGCACCGAGCAACGGGGATGACCAGCCAGAAAAAAGAGACCACCAAGATGTAATTGGCTGAAAAGCACTGACTGGACCAGCGCTCTTCAAATGCCACTTGTCATGGCGATATGTTTGCTAAGGCCCATTGTGCAGACTGTTTTTGATCGGCAAGGAAGATTAGGAAGTGATGTTATGCACCAGCTGACAAACCCTCCTGCCGTGAGGTCCTAGCTATCTACTGTGAAAACATATGGCAATGCAACATCCAAATTGCAATGTTCCAGATGCTCAGGATATGAGGGCGGCGAGATGATCAACATGAGTTCCAGCATTTGCTTTGGCAAATTGTTGTCATGAACTGTTTTGCCTGGGCAGGGCAGGACACCTTGCTGACCCTGCTGTGTACTTATACAAATTTATACAACTACTTTGTGCCCGTTTCTTCCTGCGGCTTTTGATCCTAAATAATGTAGCTCAAAACAACACTGGCTTGTTTCCTCATTGCCTTCGGGCAATGTTAGTCTTGCTTTATTGGTTTGTTTGACTTAACTTGTGTTTATGCGCACTCTTTGGCATTTGATTGGGCGCTGCGGTGGCGTTCAGTGAGTTGAGCTGGGAAAACTTGCCAAGGACTGGTACCTGGTTGGCTCTTCCTTTGGCCGCCTTGGATCATCCGAGGAAGGATTTGCAAAACGCCACCTGTGGAGGCCAGGTGGCTGACCTGCAGACATCATAGCTTTGAGCGCATGGAGGTCCTGGAGGTTGTCGGGGATTTGGCCTTTGATGAGCAATCTTTAGAGTTTTGTCACCTTAGCATCCTTAGCGTCAAGTTGACAAGATGTTTGGTCAAAACCTGGGACAGGAACAATAAATGGACATCGTCCAGCACCCGATTGGGACACTTATGTTTGCACCCCGCTCATGGACATCCGCGCGGAGGATAGCTACACCACGTGGAAGAGGACCGACAAGATATAGTAGGACACATGCAGTCTTTGGTTCTCGACATTGTAGTAGTAAGGTGATGTGGCACATTGTGGTACAGAAAAAAGATGGGGCGCAGAAATGGGAAATGTGAAGATACCCATTCTAGAGCCAGCTTGCTTGTGCCAAGGTTTCCTGAGTATTTGTCGTGTTTGATGTGGTTTTTTCTCTTGGCTATTTTCAAGACCTTCTAGGAGTCTTCCCAGCATGGCAGCCTTGATGCTAATTTTCCTCCTTTCCGCTTCTGGGCACGAAGATCATTATACCGCCGATTACAGTGAACACTGGTGTTTTTGTTCCCTATTCTGTTCTCACTCACTTTGTCAAGTCGTCAAATTCCAATCAAAATCAGTTTCTTGAACATGTGTCAGTCAAATTGCGGGCTTTGGTTTTTCTGCCTGCTGAGGCTTGGTGTGCAGAAGTTCGCAGCCCTCACTTCCGTTTGTGTGTCCACCTCCTCTTTGGCGTGTTTGTGATCTTCATTTCTTTTGGCCTCCTAGAAGCAGCAAGACCTGGCCTTCAACAAAAAGTGGAAGTCGGAAAGGCATAGCACTGGAAAGGCACTGTGCCATGGATTTCATGATGGCGATGGAGAGAGTAGGTGCCTTGTTTGGAAAAATCACGACCATGAATGCAATGAGGCCTTTTGGGGACCGCCATCGTTGGCATCATGGGCTCAACCATTGCCTTGGTGCCGAGACTCTTCCCGCCATCCTCCCGGGCCGCACTTCCAGTGACTTGAAACACAGTGGATCACTCCGATTCGCTCCCCTGTTCTTGTTGAACTGGTTGCCAGCTCTACCCACATCCGCTGCCGTCGGCAGATTCGATTCATCATCATTGTGCAACCAATTGAGATAATTGAGGGTTTTGACTTCCTATCTATATCCATGGATTACTTCGCTTGGCCTGCCTTCCTCTTTGAAACCTTGTTGAAGTTGTCAATATGCATAAATTATCATAAATTTGTAAATCAATAAACATGCCCTGTTGGCCTGTTGGCACTGCAAGAAATCTTCAACGTACCCAAGGTGATATGGGCACTGGCCATCGCAACTGGGTCGTCATGGACGTGGGCTTAAAACTTCTTTGTGAAAACGCCCGAGCCGTCAGTCTGGGAAAAACAATATAGACCGGTATAGATAGGGAAACTTTAGGCAAGCAGCAGACCGGGAAACTTTTGCACAAAAAAAGCGGAGAGGAGTCTGAGCTTACCAGTCAATTCAATTGCTTGTGGTAGGCGGGTCTTAGAGCTATATTTTCAACATTGTTTCCACAATTTACTTTGAATTTCTCACTTGAAGACTTGGAACTTAAGTTTGCAGACGATGCTCTAGTGGGTTTTGAAGCAGTTTCCGGTGCTTTTGCCCGAAGCTCTTTTTGCGGTGTCATCAGATTTGGCAGCTAGCAATGACAGCCTTTTAAAACCAGCGACTAGTAACAAGGGCATTACTACTAGTATCTAGAAGCTGCTAGTAGCTATTTCCTGCTGGTAGTAATGCCCTTGTTACTAATAGCGATGTACTTGTTACTAGCAGCTTCTTCGGGAGCTCGCAGCAGCTAGAGGCATGACAGCCTCTTCGGAGCAGCAACTCAGCACGCTGCGCCGCTGAGGTATGCATGCAGCTGGTATCGTTTTTCCTGGGGCAGCATCCGCACAAAGTGTGGCCAAGCGGCATATTGATTGTACAGATAGCTCTGTAATGCTCTGGAAGCTTTTCCCGGCTAGAGCTCAGCTGCTCAGGCCTGGATGGAACTATGGCCAGGGCATCAAGTATTGGTCCACTCTTGAAGAGATGGTTTGTGGGACGAAGCTGGAGCAACCACAGCCAAATTCCCAAGTTTGCGCCCTGCCTGGATTGAGTATGATGTACATTCAAGCACATTACAGTACAATCGTTGTGTCCGCGGGCTGATAAGCAACATATATATATATATAACTATGTGTAAATTCCTTTGATTGAATCCTGAATCCCAATGGCTTCGGAACACGTCATTGAATCATTGCAGAAGCACGGACTCGCCAACTCCGATGTTTTCCAAATTGGCTTGATAAGTCTTGATGACGCTTGCTGCGATGTACAGTAAATGTTGCTCATATTCTCAATGAAATGTTATGAGAATTCACGATAATTGTCATAGCCCAGAGTTCCGAATTGGAGCGGCCACAGCAGTCTCTCAGTGTGTCTCAAGGCTTCATCTCCAAGCCCTTCCTGAGCCTTGAGAGAAAGTTGGGGAGACCCAAGCAGGAGATTTCCGCATGGCCACATTGTATTTTTAGATATTAATGTAATTACAGGGTCTAGTCTGGCCCAGCTCAGAGGCAAGCGAAAGATACAACCTGTTGTGTATTTGGTGTTGGCTCTGTGCAAGTGGTCACGTGTCAAACAGGGTAGCACACAACAGTGGGCCCCTTCACAACGGTCACCGACTTTTAGATTTCATTCGATGAACCCCAGTGAGTGAAATCGAGCCGTATGAGACAGCATCACCGTTGCAAGTTGCTCAGTGCCATTGCTGCAAGCACTGTCCGTGAATCCAAGGACGTCAGGCTTGGCGCCATGGTTTGTACCTTCGACTGACATGGTTGACAGAGGTCATTCTAATTAGCTCGTGTGTGTGTGTGTGTCTTAACGTTTTCTTGTTGGGGTTTAGCTAATCAACAGTGAGACACACGTGCAACTCCTGCAGTGAATTGCGCACCATACTGGGTGAGGTATTTCGCTTCATGGCCCTGAAATTCATTTCTTTAGCAGCCGAGTCTTGGCAGTGTCCAACCTAGGATTAGGTGGACAGGAAGCACAAAAAAGCCCAGTTAGCAGGTAGCATAGTGAAAACGACCAAAGTCGAAGCTCCCCATTGCGCTGTGCATTGTAGTGCATTGTACCACTGCATTTTGAGTGTAAGAACGTAAGAGATGAACAATTGCTGCTAGCCATTCAATCTATGGGTGTTATGGTGTTATTGCTTCCTCATTGCACAGTTTCCAACAAAATACCCTAAGAAATAGATTGCAGGAAATCGTGTATATAATATTGTATAATGCACCAGAAAGAAGAAACCATGCAATCCATCCATCCCTTTCATTTCTATAAGTGATCCATTGGCGGGATGGACCGACATGAAGGTGCCATCAGAATCCATTCCTCCTATCAAATGGCATCCTTGTGGACATCACCAGTAATCTTGAATGTTTAACTTGTTGGTGATGGTAGGTGCAGCATTACTGAATATGTTTGGCAACCTCGACAGCGCACAACTATGCATTTAGTACCGCTGAAGGGCCCGCTCATTCCTTGACCTCGAGCACTCACTGTGAGGATACACTATGGTTTTATGAGGCCAAGCCCGAGCGGGCCGGCATCGAGTCCAAATCTGATTTGGTTCAAAGAACTGAGCGGCACTTAACTGAGCCTGCAGAGCCCGATCAAGAGGCATTGACGGGAACTTCGACGAACTTCTACAGTCCGAAGCCACTTGCCCTTAAAATCTGCAAGTGTTCCTTGCTTCGTTAATTACGTGGCACGTGCCCCATGTTGTAAAAGTGACTGCAGTGCTGCGCATGTATGCTGTTTGTTGACCTACTCTAAGGTACTACCTTGCATATTTGGGCTACCCTCCACTCTTTTTTGCAGGTCCAATCCTGTCGTACAACGCTTTCGTCTCCCAGCTTGAGCGGCCAATTCTATCATACACGGCAGGCATGTCACCTGATGAGCAGCTCGTGCGCAGGCTATTGGCTTTCTATATACTGTAATTGGGCTTGCAAATAGCATGTGAACGTAGCTTTGTCTCGAATGGCTGTGTGAGGCAAGCGAAGAAAGCGAGGCAGGCTGTGGTGTTCTACTGCATTCGGCTCCTCCTTCTGATGATATTCATCGAATTTTTCACAGTTTATTGGTGGTACAGCCAGAAGCTTCACCAGCTCACTTGCACAAGTCAAGATGAATACCAGAGATGTCTATTTGATGATTTGTCACCATGGGAGCTATACATCGCAATGCATGTGGTCTTGCACTTCACTTGGTTGTCCTTGATGATTATTTGGCGATTTGGTCGATTTCTCGCTCTAGCGGACGGCATCGACTCTTTCGAGAATATGCTGGAGTGCGTGTCCTTGAACTATACCTTCGTCGAATTCTGGAGAATATGGCATGCATCCATGAACGAGTTTATGCTAAGGAATCCTGTCAAAATATGGATGTTTCTTTTGTTTGACACGCTGCCGGCAAGGGCGATGGCATGTCAATCCCACCAGGTTTCGGTTCCAATTCTCATGACACGCGTTCCTGCATGCAATTGCTGCTACAGCCTGAACATGGTTTTATATGGTTTTATGATGTTTGATGTTTTTGGAGGTTTGGCAGAAACTGCCAAGGTATCTTTATTGGCCATTGGGAGGCAAACATAGATCTTGGCTTGCTGTCCCTGTCGTGTTCCTTTTCGTGGGCTTCTGGCATGAGCGCACAGGATGGCGGGTGCAGTGCAATGTATGCATAATGTGATGCACAGTGGCAATGGGTATAGAACCCTTTTTGGTTTCTTCAACACCAGTGAACTGCGCAGCGGTAGATATGTAGTGGCTGGATGCAACTGGAGGATTGGGGACTCAACCTGGCTGGTATGCATGGGCATTGATGAATGCGGCTGGTGTTGCTTGACAAGAAGAATTCTTTAGCCAATGCATGTGGAGTTTTTTGTGATTGTGCAAGCAGCTACCGCTGTAGTGCAAACATGATTCCAAATGTAATTGTTGCTGTACATATGAGTCAGAGTCATAGTTATAGTCCATAGTCTTGTACAAGAGCACAACTCAACTGCTGAACACTGTGGTGACTTGGATAGCCAGAATGACACCTCAAGGTAGGGGCGAAGAGTTAATGTACCGTTGTGTACAGTACTTGAACGACTTAAATGTATCCAGCTATTTCTGTTGCAATCACCTTAAGATCGAATTCCTAAACGTGAGTGAAGGGGAGCTCCTGTTTGATTTGCTGCTGAACTCACATTGTTTGAGGTGGTCATTAACAAAGTCATTGAAGAGAGCTTGAACAAATATCGCCACTTGCCAGTTGAAGTGTGCCCAGATTTGCGCTGGAAGCAAGATGGCTTTTGTACGACTGCGTGTGCTAGTGATTAGTTGGAACAGGACAAGAGCATTCACACCAGCCGGCCCGACCGCCAAAATGTAGCAATCGTATTGTATGACTCACTAACGGTTTGTTTCAGACAGGATTATTGTAATTGACGTTGAGGACAACTGGACAGATTCCCACACAGCCACCCGGCCGCTGGATTGTGACTGGTTTGCATCCAGACAGCCAAGCTTTTTCATGCCTTTTTCAACAAAGTCGTGGAGCTCAGTATCCAAGCCGAAGCATGCCCTGTTTTTTTCCCTTGGAATGTGAGCTTTGACCTGCTTCATCCAGTAACGTTCAACTCTGTCAAGGCGACTTTGGAGATGAGCCGTTTGAGTGATCGGCCGCACCGGTGGGTGGCACAGGTCATTTTCTTCTTGGGCAAAGGCCCCGTCATGCGGAACTGGACAAGTTGCGGATAATATAAATATATAGATATGAGATTCACCAGAAGATCCAAAAAGTAAATCCAGGTGCACAAACTTTCTATTATTGAGTGTATGAAATTATTCAGATGCTCCTTTTGATGACTCCCAGCCAGCTTTCACCGGTTGAAGACTGCAGCTGTCTTGCTGGCAGCAATCTATGGTTTGTATATATATATATTATGTATATATATATATATGCAGTTTCCCTGACTGGTCGGTTCAAATGGTTAAGCCCTCCAGACACTTCGACATCGGCCAAGTGGCTTCATGAACGTCAGGCATCGGGCCTGTGGCGTTAATCCTGGTGAAGCATGGCTCCAGTCTCGAACATGTCATTAGATGGATGGCACTCATGGCTTTGGGTGATTCATGTTCCCAACTGCCAGCCGCTAGCCTGAGGAATGCACCTGCCATTTTTCTGTCAAGCTCTTTGCGATTCTACAGGAGCTTGCTGCTTGGAGCATATAGTAATTTGCCAATAAGCTCACGACATGAATTTGTGGACACAGGCCAGGCACCTTCGCTACCTGATACGCTACCCAAATTATATGAGACACGTCCACACGTCACACGTTGCACACTTGCCGTGCTAGATGCAAGCATAGATGAGTCATGACAAGTCAGAAGCAGCTAGGATGAACGGCATCCTTGCAAGCCTTGCGTTTGGCATTTAGCCTCATGTGGCAATCGAAACAATAGAAAGATTATAATTATATACGCATGTTATATAAATGTTGGCCAGGTTGTTTCGGGGCTGGGAATCTGCTACACTGCTTCTTACATTGGTTTTCACCTTTGCCTGTGACTTGGCCGACGGTTGAAGGCTGGGAGTCAAATCTTGAAGTGGGCGATTGTAGAGTGAAAGATAGGGAAAGGGAGGGAGTCAAAGTCAAAGAAATCAGATGTCTCGCCTGATAAGGCAATGCCCAGCTTGTCGATGCTCTTCGTGCTCCCAAGTCTTCGAGGCGTGAGCCAGCCATGCAATGAGCTGGGGAGAGAGGGTTGCCCTGAGCTCCCCCATCTTGTCGAAAGACCCTGGTCCCTGTCAACATGAGAGGTTGGGGCGTTTGATTCCCAGCCTCTTCATGTGCGGCCCTGAATTCCAAGAGTCGCAGTACCATTAAGTGGATGAAGCTCGGATTGAGCACTTCCATGACTTCTGCAGCAGCTGGTGCAAAACGCATCCTTTTGCGTAAGAAGTCTTGCTTTAAGTCCAAAAATTGTGGCTGACGGACAGCCAGGGCTGGAGCACCAGCTCCAGAGCAGCATTGTGGACGTCCCCCATGGCTTTCCACAGTTTGCCTTTTCATGTTTTGCTGTCAAGGGCTCTCAGTTAGTAAGCACATGTAAGCACAACATTTGGAGAGAAACTGAACACTAGTCGCTAGCAGAAAGACTGTTGAATGTCCAGAATGTGGCCACTAGCTTTGTGTTTGAGGTTCATTTGTGATCCTTGCAACCTACGAGTCTGCAGACCTGGCTCTTTGGGATGTGCCTCGCAGCTGCATGGTGGCCAACCTCCATGAATTTCACAATGGGCAACCTTTGCGGACTGCAACCGGAATCCAATGGCCTCCAACTGGACTCCAACCTATAATAGCGATGGCCTCCAACCAAATGGCAAAGCCTCCCAGAAACTGCATTAGATTGGGCGGTCATGTGAATGCAGTCTCGCATGTTGCTTTTGATGTTGTTGTTGGTGTGTGTGTGTGTGTGTCAACCCCTGTTTCAAAGGGTTCTGAGTCTTGACTTCAGGCAGGGGGTGCAAGCAGCCCATCCAGTCTTGCACCAACGAAGACACTGGATGTGTGCTGGTGATATCGATTTGGGACGCCAAATCGACGTACCTGCGACTAACGTGTGCACAAGCTGTGACTCTACTGTTCTCGGTTTGATTCATAGTTCGTTCATGATACTTTCCCCCAAACTCTTTTCCCTCCGCCACTTCCAGCCACTGAGACGCCGTGAGATGCTGTCGCGAGTTCTGCAGAGGCGCATAAACCACTTGTTCAAACATCTTCAACTGCTCCGACCTTTTCACCTTTCAGTTCCATCATCTTTTTTCCTGGTGCGAAAAAGGTAGCAGCGGCACCCGAAGTCCGCAAACACGAGAACAAGAGGGCGCACTGAAGCGCCGCGGCCGCGCCTTTTGCAAGGCAACTGCCCTCCCAGTCTTGAGAGGGAACGACGGTAAGTGAAGGTCGAAAACAGTTCGAACTGCCGAAACACAAGTGCACAGCGTGAACTTTACATGGGGGAGAGTCCTTCGTCATCACCCCAGTTCCGCTGTTCGAACCGGTCCAGCCATTGGTAGACCAAGGTCCGCACAGATGAGCCTGACCGATCATCGACAAGGTCAGGTGGAATCACCCTCAAACTACAAAGGCGGCAGAAATCTACTCGCCGCTGCAGGCTTTCATCTCTTCCGGCCAGGCTTGAACAGTTCAAGGTCGTGTGCCATCTGGCGCCATGCCGGCTGATGATCATGCCATTGTAGAAGGGGCATTCATTTCCATGCTCATCCATCTGCCTCAGGGCGATCTTCAGGATCTGGGAGGCTTCCTGTGCAAGGGTCTCAGCAGCATTCTGGTTTCTCAGAACCAGATTCATCGCTGTCGTGGCTTCGACAGCAGCAAGGCGGGACTCCTCGGCTTTGGAACTCCAGCGCAGGACTTCCTGCTTCAGGCGTTTGACTTCTTCTCTAAGGCGAGCTGGGATGATCGCTCCATCCTTTTGGACTGCAGTCTCAGTGACCTGGGGTGGTACTCGGTGGTGTGCATCATGGCTCCATCGACCAACCATGAAGGCTGTGCTCAAAAAAAGTAGAAGGAGGGTGCACAAAACAGTTCCAAACCAATCCATTCCAGCTTCAGGTTCCACATTGGCCGAATCGGCCGTGACCAGCTGCGGGGCCATGAACAAAAGCAAAAACCAAAACATGAAATTCGTCTTACGACCGCGGTAGGACTCGAGCGGGCGGCTTCCGACATGGCTCGGACTGTCGGAGACATACTCAAGCTTCCGGTCGGTCCTGGCAAACATGACATTCACAGGAACCTTGGAATTCCGAAAAATCTCTTCATTCCAAAACACCTGCTCATCGACATTCACGTCATTCTCCGCAGGATTCTCGTCGATGGGCTGCTGGTGCTCCTCGTGGAAGTTGGGTTCCTCATTGATCACATGTGGTGGTACCACATGGATGCTTTCGGGTTCCTCATTGATCACATGTGGTGGTACCACATGGATGCTTTCAGGTTCCTCATTGATCACATGTGGTGGTACCACATGGATGCTTTCAGCAAGACTCTGTTGGAGCTCAGCTTTTGTCTTCTTCTTGGCAGCTTTGTATGAGGGGTCCCAAACAAGCTTCAAACGACCGTGACGTAGCCGTTGTGCAAGAAGTGCTCTGGCCGACTCTTTTGTCAAACCGTCAGCCAGTTGGCGCTCCGATGACATCCACCTCAAAGAACCGCCCAGTGAAGACAGGCGATCCTTCATCACACGGATCTCAAGCGAAACTCGCTTGTCAACCACAGAGCTTCCGACTCCTTCTCGGTGATAGGAGTCGTAAAGGGCTTTGGCGTCCGTGATCATGGTGGGCGACAACAAGGATGGAGCGTCCAAGAGCTCTTGGAGTCGCTGGCGAGGGTCAACCAACAAGCTCCAGTAGATGCTGGCACGCTCCAAGGCATCGCAAGCTTGACCACCGCTTTGTGCTTCGGCGCCCAAGGAAGAGCGCGCAACTCTTGGCGTTTTCAAACTGCGCCAATCCAACACGTGGTAGGCTCCTTCGGGACCATTGGCCTGAAGCAAAGCTTTGTTGACCATCAGGATCACATAGCCAGCTTGTGAGGCTCCGTCACTGCGGGTGGCAAAGGCAGCATCAAAAAAACATACCAAACAAAGGTCTGAAACTTCGCCCAGGTGGCTGTACTGTAGGCCAACATCAGCATTTTCTTTTGCAAAACGCAGCAGGCGATTTGTGTCGGCCACTGTCTGAAGCGTGGCCTTGGTGACATGACCGCTCAGGATCGAGGTGCTGCTCTGCAAGTGAGGACTGCTTTGAACTGCGGGCCATTGAAGTGAACCAAGAAGTCCTCTCAGCTGTGTCAACTCACGCTGATTGAGCGCATCGGTGAGGCTGCGCTTCTTGTCGTAGGTGATCGGTTTCACCTTTCCCATGTAGCTGGTCTGGTTGAGGAGGAGACCATCATCCTTGACCTGAATGTCACAACCACAATAGGTCAAGGGCTTTCCATCATCACCAGTTTTCCATTCACGGAAGTTGAAGGTGCTCTTCAGCTTGGTGATGGTGTCGTTGTAGCACTGGGAGGATGACGAACCGCAACCAAGCATGTCATCGACGTGCATGATGACCATACCACATAGGCCATGAGGTCCAAGCAGGTTGGAGTGCTCAGCTGTGGTGTCATACTCAGGGTTGAGGTCACCTTCATAGATCAAGAAGCAGCAAGGGTCTTGAGGATGCTGTCGGAGGCCCATAGCGCTCAGCTTATCAACTGCAGCCATGAACCAAGATCTCGGGGCATCGATCTGGCCGTAGCAGGGCTTGAGAAGCAACATACGGGTGTCAGCTGTAGCCCCAAGCAACTGCAAACACTCTTGAGGAAGCTGCACCCACAACTTGCGTGTCTGAGGTCGACCCTGCAGGAAGGCGGTTGCTATGTCTGAAGTCCAGATTGGCCACTGCATGGTGGAGGCCAAACTCAACAACATGGATCTCGACAGCCTCGTGGTTGTGGGCGATGAGGTTGGAACAGTTCCTTCCCAAGCGTCTGGGTCCATGAAGCCTCTGACAATGAGCCTGGCTTTGGCACGGGGGCTGCCATCAGGATTCTTTGACCACTTCAGCAGCATGCGACTGGTCAGCGTCCGACTGGGCTCAGCTTCTCTGGTGGTCTCGAACTGCCAGACGTGGTTGTCAAAGAAGGATTGCAACTCTTTGACCTTTGCAGCTTTGAAGGCTGCTCGCTCATCAGGAGTCATGTGGCGCTCCGAGAGGTTGTTCTTGTTCTTGTCTTTCTTGAAGCTTTTGGCGTGCCGGAGTTTGGTCTCCTTGCCAAGCTGTCGTGCTCCTTGAAGTGGGGCCTTAGCGAACATGGCCATCTCTCGACGAAGGTCGCCTTTGATCTGGAAGATCGTGACTCCAGTCCATGAGCGATCCAAGGGAGTGGAAGCCGTGTAGCCATCGTCGGTCTGTTGGATGCTTTTGCCGTTGTTGTCATACATAATGGTCACCCGAACCAAATCAAGCTGATCTGAGGTGAAGGGGCTGTCTTTTGGCAATTGGTGCAGGCACATCTTGGATCGTCGAGGGATCACATGGTGTCTGATCAAACATCCGGCTTTGACTTCCCAGAAGTCGCGGTCTCTCTTGTCGAGCTGGAAGTAGCCATTCTCATAGGTCCAACCTTTTGGCAGGCAGTTGGCTTCAATGCCGGAGACTTGGAAGGCATGATTCAGCAAGGCGTGATCAGGTGCCTTCTGACTTGCATAGAGAGCAGGATCATCCGAAGCAGCTGGAGCTGCCGATACTTGGGCTGGCGCTTCTGCGGCTGCCGCTGTTGCTTGTGTGTTGTGCTCTGCACTGTTGTGTTCTGCTTCTGGTGTTGTTGTTTGTGACGTCGTGTTGTATGGCTGTGGTGACCCAATGCGCTGTCTTCGCAGGGGGCCAAAACTAAGTGTCTCCTGTCTGTTGAAGCGAACTCGTCGTTGTTGAAAGGTTTCAGCATCGACTGGTTCATACAATGCTGCAGTGTCAGGGTCCAGTGAAGGCCCTGACATTGATGCTTGAGGTGCTGTTGCAATAGCCGGTGGTGATGCAGCATGTGGTGTGGGTGCTGCAGATGATATGGTTGGCTCTTCGCTGGGTTCGACCACAGTAGGAGCCCGTGAGCGGGACCTAGTGGTGGCTGGTGAACCTGGTACAGTGATCTCGGCTGGGGCCATGGGCAGCAACATGTTTGGTTCTGCCATCACTGGTGTTGGTGGTGCTCTGGGAGACGTCGGTGCAAAGCTGGAATGAGCAGGTGAGGTAGGCTCATATTCATCATCGGGCACGATGATCTGTGGTGGTGCTTCTGCAGTCGGCACGGGTGGCTCCAGGCGAAAGCGATGCCTGGGAGGCTCATCATCATCTTCTTCCAGCAGAGGACCATCAGGGTCAGTGTGTTGTTCATCTTCCTCGACATCATCCAGCTGTTGGCGGTTCACCCGTCTCAAGTCGTAGAATCTAGTGACTCCACGGGATTTCAGCTGTCTCACTTTGTTGAGGGCTGATTGCAGGTCTTCGAGCACGTGCTGAGGTCCGAGGATGTCTGCACGGACATGGTGAGGCGCAGCACGAATCAACTGTGTTTTGTAGGCGAGCCAGTAGGTCTTGACCTTTGGAGCTGCAGTATCAGCTTCAGCATCTTCTTCACGAAGAACCACGTGGGCAGGACCAAGCCATCTGATCTTGTTCAGGGCTCCTTGGCGAGCATCACGCCAAAACCATACTCTTTCTCCCAACTGGAAAACTCGATTCTGGCCCTGGTACTTGCGACTGAGAGCGCGTCGCAGCTTGGAGTCAGCATCAGCAGATGCCAGTGCCATCTTTGCAGCAGTTCGCCGCTCAAGGTTCTCCTCAAATGAGCTGTTGTTGCCAGCAAGTTGAGCTGCATTGAGGTTGGAGTCCATGAGGTGAGACAGCTCAGGTTGGAAGCCAAGAACCCATTGACTGGGCGAGAAGCCAGCAACTGCAGGTGTGGCGTTCTGCTGTGGGATCACATAGCAAAGTGCTTCCTTGATGCCAGCAGCGTCGTTGAGCTTGCGGTCATCCATGTAGACCTCACAGGCACGGCGCAGCACTGCATGACGGCGCTCAACCAACGAAAGGCGCTCATGAGCTTCTCCTGGTGCTACTTGATGGTCAATGCCAAGTGAGCTTGTCCAAGATTCAAACGGTGCACCAAGCCAAGGTCGGCCTTCATCGGAGATCAGCTTCTTGGGAGGGCCAAAATGGCGAACCCACATCTTTTCCAGAGCGGTGATGTAGGACTTGGAGGTCTCCTCATGAAGCAGGTAGGCTGCCATGAACTTGGTGCCAACATCAACTATGCTCAGCACTGCAAACTTGCGGTCTGCTGGCTTGAGGTAGAAAACGTCAGCCTGAATCACTTCGTTGAAGGTCTTGGGCTGTGGCATGGATGATGGAGCAACCTGGTTGGGCTTCTTGTGCTTCAGACATGCCACACACTTGTACTCCTTGGCAGCGGCGATCACAGTGGGATGAGCTCCTCTGGCGGTCAACAGATCAGCCAGAGCATCAGGTGCCGGATGGCCAAGGTTTCGGTGTAGCCGTTGCACCGTTCGAAGAGCATCTTGTCGGTGTTCAGACTTGAGCTTGAGAAGGTGTCCGGTCTCTTTCTTGCCAGTTTCATCGACCACATAGGCGGTGTCCCACAGTTGAGCGGTCTCAGGACGAGCCAAGGCAGCAGCCAGTGTCGCTGCAAAGCCAGGTTGGTAGTCTTCCAAGTAGGTGGTCCGGCGGCCATAGCCAGGAGCAGAACCTTCCAAGGGGCAGTGGTAGTGGTCATGGTCACACTTCAGCTGGAAGGCCTCTAAAACAGCCTGCTTTGTGGTCAACAGGCGAGTGCTCTTTTGGACAGGTCGCCAGATGCCGTCGGTGTCCATGCACATTGCTCCATAGCGGCATTGGTCGAAGTCGGCATAGTAACCAGGAAGATCTCGGAGAGCCATCGTGTTCCAGCTCAAGGCATGTCGGGGCTGCTCCAAGTGGGCATGCCGCGCATTGGTCACCTGTCGTAGGTAGATGCGCTTGGCAAAGCAGAGATGGCGACGATGGTGGTGCTCACGTCGAGCCTTCAAGGCTTCTTGCTGTGCAGGGGTGCGACAAGCCAAGGTTTGCATTCTTGACCACAGGCGGCATTCTGGTGCCACCAGCACTTCATCAGGTTCTTCTTCATCAAGTCGTTGGAGTAGCTGTTGTTGATGGCTGATAAGGTTGAAGTCCCAGCCATTGTCCAAAGAAAATCTTTCCACCTTCATGCCAAGCTCCTCTGCGATGTGGCCAGTGCGAGCTTTGCCACAGTAGATTTCCCAGAGAACTCGTCGATGGTCGGGAGGATTGTGAAGCTCCTGAGTGATATAGGCTTCGGTGGAGTTTGAGGTAGTGACCAACTGAGTCTCCATGGTTCGAAGGGCATGTCGATGAAGGCGAGTGGATTGCAATTCGCCACCTGCTAGAGCCACATCTTCAGCCTGAAACACATGTTCGAGCTTGTTAAAGTCCTCGAAGTGGAGATGGCTGCCAGGTGTTTCCTCAACAATGCGAAGGCTGAATAGGGTTTTCGTGGGATCAGGTACTTCCTCCATGCCAGTGGTGAGGCTCAACAAGTACTCGCCGTGGCGGCCCACAAGCACTGAGGTCCAAGGCGATTGCCCAAAGCGAATGCGCTTCTGGCTGAAGTCGATGCCCATGTGCAGAGCCTCAATCACAGGTCGGCCCATCAACATTGGCGTGTTGCCAGGAACCAGGTAGCATTGGATCGTGCCGAACTGGCCATCGATCATCACCGGGAGATCCACTGTCCATGAAGCTCGTGAGGATGCATCGCCACCAAAATGGAACTGGCGGTCACATCGAGCAAAGCGGATGGTGTTGATGGAGTAGTTCATGGAGTGCAAGAGGCTCAAATAGCGGCCGAATGGACCATATCCGCACAGGAAGGCAGATGCACCTGGGTCAAGCATGGTGGCATCCGGTCGGTCGGTGCCCATCTCATCCTGGAACAGGACCAAGGCGGTCTCATTCTGCAAGGCCATACCCTCAGTGGGTGCAGGTCTCTTGTTGGACGATGAGGGTGATTTCGCACCTTGTGGACATTGCGCTGCCCAATGACCTGGTTGGCCACAACGAAGGCATGTAGTTGCCTTTGCACGACCTTTTGGATCAGCCTTTCCACCTGAGGAGGGCGGATAGCGCACCACATTCTTTCCTTTTCCTTTGCTTTTGCTCTTGCCCTTTCCTTTGTTCTTGCCGGCGCCCTTCGAAGGTGAAGAGGATCCAGAGGCGGGCGAAGCGTTCTGGCCATCAGTGAGGGCGACGATCGGCAGGTAGCCACGAGCCAACTTGAGCTGCTGGAATCTTTGCCGGGCATCCAAGTAGGTGGCATAGGCGTGGTCATACTCTTCGGCCAACTCTTGAGGATCTTCGGACAGGTCATGGTGTTCTCCAGGTTCATCCTCTTCGCCGTAGTAGATGGCGTCATAGTCAAAGTCAGCCTCATCGTCAGGGGCAGTGTCATCATACCATTCGTCGGCCTCATAGTAGGCGTCTTCTGTCCAGGGTTGCTCGGACCAGTAGGCATCTTCTTCATCGAATGCGGCGTAGCCGCGGCCCTTCCAGCGGTTGAACTTTCGATCACGTTCAGCATTCCAGCCGCCTGCTTTGTAGTCCTGACCGAACAGCAGGTACAGGGCTTCGATGACAGAATTCTTTTCCAACGTAGGAGCCTTCAGCGTCACCATTTGGCGTTGCTCCTTTGACAAAGCAGCACGTCGGAGTAGATGCCATCCTTGAACCTGGACTGGAAGAGTCACATTGTGGGCAGTCAAACGACGATAGGCGGTGTCATGGTCGGTGACGAAGGACAGGAGGCTTTGCTGTGGCTTCCTTTGCAACAAGTTGAAGTACTCCTCAAAGTCATTCGGAAGGAGCACACGATCGTCATACTCGAAGTTCTTGTCGAGCTTGGTGATGATCTTGCTGAAGCCATCCTCTTTCTCAGCCTCTTCAATTGAGAAGTCCTCGAACAACCGCCACGTCACACCCTGAAAACTTCCCAGGATGTTCAGGACGGACTCGGCTGAGCGCTTGCTGATCTTCATCTTGTGGTGGTAGAGCATCAGCCTCTTTCTGTACTCTTTGTAGTCCTGGGGTTGTCCACTGAACAGTGGAACGAAGGAGTCGCGCAGGTTGAGGTAGTCACCATCCTTGGAACCTTCTGCAGCCGATGTCGTTGGTGGCATTCTCAAACAAGTAGCCAAGACCGAAAGGGCTCTTCAACGAGGAAACAAAAGAGCTCGGCCAAGGGTTCGTGACAAAGGACTTATGCAGAACCTCGTTCTTCTTCGCGCAAAGGACTCGGAGCCCCCCGGAGGAGGCTCCGCTACCAATGCGAAAAAAGGTAGCAGCGGCACCCGAAGTCCGCAAACACGAGAACAAGAGGGCGCACTGAAGCGCCGCGGCCGCGCCTTTTGCAAGGCAACTGCCCTCCCAGTCTTGAGAGGGAACGACGGTAAGTGAAGGTCGAAAACAGTTCGAACTGCCGAAACACAAGTGCACAGCGTGAACTTTACACCTGGAAATTGAGTTAGCTGAAAACCAATGTCGAAGTGTGTGTGGCACACTCTGTTTTCCAAGAGTTTCAATTACTCCACTTTTCCAGCAGGGGGTGCCAGAGATGCACACTGGACTGGCACCAACGAAGACACCAGTGTTGCATCTGTGAAATCGACTTGGGACGCCAAATCGACGTACCTGCTTGTTCACAAGCTGTCACCCTACTTTTCCACGTTTTGATTCATGGTAGTTTGCATGATACCTCCCTTAAACCTTTCCTTTGTCGCGTTTCCTGCAGCTGAGTCGCGCTGACGCTCGCCACCGCAGACATGTCAACAGATTGTTCAAACAATACAAGTGCGCTGACCCTGTCACCTTGCGGTTCCATCACCATTTTCGACCTGCAAACCCAATATCAAAGTGTGTGTGTGTGTGTGTGTCCGCGTGAATAATGCCTGTCGATGATTCCACAGATGCATAGGAAGCTCAGATGTAACAGCTGCAGATTCTCGTCAATTCCGAGTTGTAAAAATCCGTGATATGAAGCCACTAGCATTTTGGTATTGTTGGTTTGGGAGATTGCAGTTTAGTTTTTCGTTTGCACTCGAAAGATGTGCCGCAAGCCAATAGAAGAGCTGTACCAAGTCATCAACTTGATCAGACTTTGTTGCTTTTGTTCCCGTGGAACAATAAGGGCGTAAAAATGACAGACACGACAAGACTGTCAGCAAGACCCAGCATGCGCATAGCTGAGGCGCATGCCCCGTCAACCTTCGAGCTACCTTGCTGGTGATCCAACCTGTGGCTTGCCCACAACAGGATCCGTGTCCAAGCGGGTGGGCAGTGGGTCTCAACTAAACCTAAACTAAACGAATCTAAACGATCATGTAGCACTTCTTTGTATCATCACTTTCCAAGGTTTCCCAGTTTCCCCAGTGTTTTTTCTTTGTATGATCACTTCTTTTCCATCAAGGTTACCCGCAGCACCCGGGCTGTGAGCCAAACCTTGATGGTACTTTTGGTTTGTCTCCCCATGCAAGAAGTGTCAACACCTGTATAGCTGTTCATCCTTTCGTATTCAGATTCATTGCAGAATTGGAAAAGTTCCGTCCTTGAGGTCCAGCTATTTGTTCTGCAGTGCTGTGGCGCAAGGATTGGGTTGCGGGCAAGCGTTGTTTCTTAATCTGTATTGCCTCAGATTCTATGGTGGTTTTGGAGCGCTCACATTTCTTGTACTGCACCACAAACTGGGATGGGAGCCCTTGAGAGCACAGGTGTGGCTTAGCTGCGCCGGTGGTCAGCTGAAAATGCTGCGCCTTCGAGATGGCAGGGAATCCTGGTTAAGCGGATCCTGTTGAGCGCGTTGGGGCACTTTGTTTGGGAACTTATATAAGCAACCGTTACTTTGAGTTGAACGTTTGCAATTAAAGCAGAGCATGCCACCAGGGCCTATATAAAAACTTATTCATATATATATATATAGTTGACACATCAGCGACCCAGTTTCGGTTAAGAACTTCTTGGTTTTTCAACATGCAGGCACAACACCTACCGGGTGAATAGCTGTTTCTCATGCACTCCAACCAATGCGATACTCATAGTTATGCTTCAAGACAGGGGTCAACAAGTCAACAGCCTGCTTTGGCGTCAAGATACTGTACAAATTCATGCACGGCCCAACCTATCCTTTGTGCCATGGCCGTGGCTAGTGTGATCGCATGGCTGGATTGCTCGACTTGACTCGCTGGTTTTAGGCCAGACTTGATTTGCAGAAGATGGCACGGTCAACTGGCACAATGCATTTTCAGAGCAACTGTTTCCGTAGGTTGAACTTTGGCACGTTATCTAGGCCTCAACATCAGCGCCACATTGCTAATAAAGGCTTTGAGCAAGTTCTACTGGTCTTTTTGCGGCACTTGGTGGTTGTGCAAAGTTGATGATCGAAATAGCAAGCAACGCATCAACCACTACCACAGTTGTGGTGAGGCGGCTGCTGCTGCATGCGCGCCCGCTTTGCAATGGGCATTGTCAGCTCAATTTTCTTGTGGTTGGCTCCTCCACCAAGGGGAGAACGGGTTGCTTCCTGTGGAGATAGCATCAAGTGCATCTCGCTTTGACTATTTGTGGACATGTGAGTGCAGCTTGTTGATGCCTTTTTCGTACATTGGATTGCTCACCATCATCACAACCACTCCAGAATCGCTGCCTTGAATCATTCGAATCATCACTGAATCATCACCATTTAGTCATTGAGCAACAGTTGATTGAAGGTAAAACTTCGGACCACGAGAATTCGTTGGTCGATTTGCCGGCACTGCTAATTGATTTGCAGGCATGGCTTATCGCTTCTAACTCTGAGATGTGGAAAGGTCCAAATCAGTGCGACAGTCAATGGACAAACCCCCATCTCACACGTTTTATAAACAGCGCCTGCACTTTCATATGTTTCTTTGCTGGCAGGTCGGTCGTTTGACGGTTTGTTTTCTCCTCCAGATTTGAATCGGATAATTTGCACAATCCTCCCCCAATCTATGCCATGGTATGCCTTTATTTCTCAATGCTGGTATTTGGCGATGTGCCCACGCTGTAGGTACAAATGAAAATGGCTGGCGCTACTTCCGCGCTTGCGGAATGGAGCGAAATGTCCATTGGTGGCGCTATGATTTCGATGCTCCCCTGAATCTATATTACAGTGGCCAGGGAGCATTCCTGACCCGAAGCTAGCATGAAGAGTCTGTAGAATACTGCGACTTACTGTAAATGGCCGTTTGAAGACGAACTGATGACACATGTTTACATTGTTTACCTAGTACGCTTTGAATCTTTGAGGGAAAAGATTGCAGTAACTTGTGAAAAGATCGCAGTGCATCCGATGCGGATCCAGGAATCCTTGGCCTATCCCGCTATGGCTGCTTTGGGGCCGCATGCACGTCGCATCCTCGTGTTGGGTGGTGCTTCAGGCACCATGGCCCAGAATTGAACAGCAACATGATGCAATATGATTGATGATTTATATTGATTTGTTATTTTGATTCTCCAGACTCAAGGCATTGACTGCAACAGAGGAAAGCACCGAGAGCCTGCCTCACAGAAAGCATGGAAAACCTTTAGTGTCGGACCCCTAAAGTGCAATAAGTGAACGGGCAGGTGTCCTGCGCCATGTGACAATTGTAGGACAGGTGCCGGGGGAGAGCAACACAAATTGCTCTATTGATGCCATGGGTTGAAATGAATTCAAATCGAGGTGGGGTGGCCAGCAGATTTCTTCAAAGCAGCGATGTGGAAGAAGTTCGCTGGGTCAGCAACTTGAATGGTCCTTTGTTTGCAATATTTGTTCAGTGTTTAGCGGGCCTTGTGAGGTGAAGCATCTAAACTTTGTGTGGGGACAAGTTGAAGAAGCGCCAACTGGTTTGGGGTCACAATTACAGTATGTCAAATGTGTTTTATTCATGTCATGGAATTGAATCGTTGGAATCATATTAGTTTTATTGGGACCAGCCTTTCATTTTGGAGCTGTGCTGCTCTCGAAGGCGTCATGGAAGCTGCAAGGCGCTGTGTGCCATCCGTCAGTGGTATTGACGAGGATCCGCGCTTGAGAGCCGCTGGAAGAAACCCGTGGACCTTAGAATGGATTGCCTTGCCCATCGAAGAGTGCTCATGACCCAAAGACGGCTTTTGTTTGAGATGCCAAATGGTTAAAATATTAAGTACGTAGTGTTGTTGCCACGAGTTGCAAGGGGCTGAGCAATTTGCATGCACTCAAGGGCTACGACTGAATGTGTTGCTAAATGCGCTCTCAATGTGGCAAAAGGATAGAATTCACATGGATTCACGCACGACAACATGCCTTTTGGAGTGAAGCCACACGCCCAATCATTAGGATGCTCCATAGTTCAATGTGTGGAAGAGTGATGCCCCCGTCACCACCAGCTGGGACCCTTTCACTCCAAGATTTGCAATTTTGCAAGGTCGAGATGTTGAACTCAACGCAGTTTCTCTACCAGAATCCGGCCAACAAAGCCGTCATGCAGTATGACATCATAGTGCAAGCAGCTTGGATGGAAAGTCAGGAACAAACGATATGTGCTCTACACCCTATGCCTGGCTGAACAAAGGCCAAGCTGAATCGTAATTACCTGACAGTGGAAACCATGTAAGTACAGCCGCCTTAATGATTGCCACTTGAAAAAGTTCAAGCTTTTGCACCGAATTCCGTTGGACTGGAGACAGTCGAGAAACTTCAGTGCTTTTGTAAGTTGGCGTTCTTATGCGTTCTCGATCTCTGAGGACACCTTGTCTCTTTTCGCCGAGGAGCATGGATTGGGCCGCCACTTTTGGAGTGCTTCTCTTGAGACGGAATACTTCTCTTCTTCAAGACTTGAGGCCTTCAGATCCGCGAGTTGGTCACTCCAGCTATAGTTTGGCTCTTCCAAAACAAAAGCAAGGACGATAAGAATTGCAAGGCATGCCAGCTGATTCCATGTTTGCAGTCTGGAATGGGGACGCCTGCAGGTGCTGCAAAAAATGCTGTCATCTCGAGGTGTTTTGGCAGCTTGGCGTCCACTGGAAGGGAGGCAGGATGCCAATTTAGTTTTCTGACGGATGCGCCACGGAGCGTGCAAAAGATGCAATCATCGCTTGTTTGACGGGTGCATGCATTGGTTGTCATTGTGGGGACTATGTGTTTTTGCAATTTATTTTGGTTCGACACTTGAAGCAACCAAGCTGCAGGGAATAATTACATTGTTTTGATCATAATGACAAGACCGGATAACCCCCCCCCCACATGGTAGGTCAACAAGGTCAACAAAGTCTGAGATAACCACTCATGAGGTCCACTCTCCCTGAATTATCGGCTCAGGGAGCCATCGTAGTCGCAGTCGTCGTCGGTAGTAGGTAGTAGGTAGTAGGTAGTAGTAGGTAGTAGGTAGTAGGTAGTAGTAGGTAGTAGGTAGTAGTAGGTAGTAGTAGGTAGTAGTAGGTAGTAGTAGGTAGTAGTAGG